TTCAAGTGCTATAAAGGCACAGTGAGATATCGCTGAAATACTGGTCAAAGTGCCGTTGACTTATCCGTGTAATCATCTTGATGTCGAGGTTCGTATTTCACTTTTGTCAAACATGGCAAGTTAATTTTAGTATCGAATGTGTACCTTTATACATACACATACACGCTATTTGATATCTAACAATACCGTTACGATATCAGTTAGCTGTTTGTTCGCTCAAGTTTATGCTAAACTGTCAAGTATAAATTCGCCGAGAAGTGCATTTTCCAATGTATTATTATTGCATTGTACATACACAAAGCACGGTCAGTTTTTTTAAAACTAGTAATTTGGATTATTATTAAAATAGTAAATGTTACTCGCTCGGATTCCAAAGTTAATAATTAAAACTATTCCACGTTTAAGAATATTTAAATAGTGACAGGTATATAGAGGTCCAAGCCACTTGACTGAAATTCCTGCACTAAGGATTTTTTTTCAGTCAAAAGTATCTCGAAATCGAAGTGTTTATCAAAATGCTAAGGTTTACTTTAGGCTTTCTGTTACATTTTTCCAAATTGGGACATGTATGTTAGTTTAAACGACAGCCATCACAAATATATCACAGCAACGTCAGTGACATAGATGAAGATCGATGGTCGCTATCACAGACACCTATATACAGGTACATGGGCATATCAGTCGCTGATGTATATTTCCATTCATCCACGCCATTCATATATACCCAGCGTCATAATTAAAGGGTCACCTTGCTATGAGGGGCGTCAAACATGAACGACGCTAACACGCGACGATTTACCTGTTTTTTGCATGGTGGATGTTTGGCGCCGCACTCGGCAATATTCCAGCTATAGTATATGGCGGCGGTCTGTAAATAACCGAGTCTGAACCAGACAATCCGGTGATCAACAGCATGAGCATCGATCTACGCAAGCAGGATACGCAATTGGGAGCCTGACCACCCGATCCCGTTAGTCACCTCTTACGAACAGCATGGGTTACTGAAGGTCAATTCTAACCTGGATCTTCACGGGTCCTCACTGAAGGTACACAATGCACACACAAGGTACACCAATGTGTCAACCAAGTCACCGAATCTCTGGCCACATGATCCCGTTAGTCGCCTCTTGCGGCAAGCATGGGTTGCTGGAGACCATTTCTAAGATCTTCACGGGTTTTCGATGGGCCTGAGTAAGTTGACAATGTGATTAACAGTTGAAGAACATGTGTTTATACCAATGTCAAACTGACATTTTATGAAAGTTGAAATAGGGAAAAACGACCGCGAAAATCAATGAAAAGTGATGCGCTCTATTTGTGGATAAGTTGAAGCTGGTGGATAAAACTAACCAAAACACACGTAGCCTGAACGTAGCCTGCCTCACAGTCCCTGAACCACATTATTTTCCCTACAGCCTAGCCATCCCTGCAGTGCTAAAGCCTTAAATGAAGCAAGTCTAGATTTCTTCAGGTTCAGGATCTTCTGAATCTCTGGTCTCCCTGGAGCTCTTTTTCAATCTGTTACAATCAAAATTATATATGTATATTCAGAGACTTAGCTTTTGCCTAACCTGAACGCGACCAGCGGTTTAACACATTCATGAGCAATACGTGTTGCATGCCAGCTAACACTCAATGTGGATGTATAAACATTTACTAGTATTCCATATGCAACTGAACGTTGAAAATGTGACCAGATCTCTTATAAACTGCGTGACCCTTCAGTAATGACAGGGAGTATCGATACAAGTGATCAAGTCAGAACACATTGCAAGGGATGTAACTGTAACTACTCTCGCCGTTCTCAGTGGGACATTCGGCCGGGATGGGTCTGTTATCATCATAACATGATATATCGAACAGGGTTGCGCGGGGGTGGGTGGTGTTTGTGGGGGTGGATTGAATGTGGGTGTGGTTTCATATAGTCTAAAGACCACCCCAACCTCCAACAACACCCAGTATAATCAATCACCACCTCCTTAGCACTCGCCAACTCCACACAGTTGCTATGGAAATCGAAGACTCAGAATATGTCTGTCCCGATACTTCCATCACATTTCTTGGGATAGAATGTGGTATCTTTTGACGATGACATCTATTAAGTTATGAAGTTCTGTCCACCCTCGAGTCATACCGTTGAGTGGGTGAGTGAGTGAGTGAATGAGTGAGATTTACCCCCAGTTTGAACATTATTTCATGCATTTGTATCAAGTCCCGCCAGCGTGATAAGTGGAAATCTCGAAGGGATGCGGAACATAGACACTTACTGCTTTAATGAGGCACAGACAAACCTGAATACAAGATTCGAACCCACGGTAATACGTTTCTTTAAAACCCTGAGCGATACAGCTTGGTTTGCGTGTGTATAGATGAGTCAGAATTTATGCCACTTTTAGCAATCATTCATCAATATCCAGAAGGGGGACAATAGATATGGTCTTCACACATTGTACCATAAGTGGGGAATCGAACCCGGGTCTTCGGCGTAATGAGCAACAGCCTTTATCACCTGGCCACCCTTCTGCAAGTCATACCGGTTACGGTACTCTTCATGAACATTTTGGGGCGGTGGGGTAGCCTAGTGGTTAAATCGCTTGCTCGTCACGCCGAAGACATGGGTTTGCTTCCCCACAGGGGCACAATGTGTGGAGCCCATTTCTGGTGTCCCCCGCCGTGATATTGCTGGAATATTGCTAAAAGCGGCGTAAAACCCGACTCACTCACTCACTCATGAACATTGTTTTTACACTGTAAAACATGTTAAAACTAATATTATTACAATACATATTATTTATATCAGATGTTTTATCTTTGTTACTTGGTAGCTGTAGTGTTTCGTCTTGTTTTGCTTGATTTTAGTTGTTTGTTTGTTTGTTTTATTTCGTTGACGGAGAGTATAAACAATACGTTTCGATTTCAAACTTGGGAATAGTGTGTGAAACACTTAGTTAAAACCCATGCCTTGTATGTTTCTGTTTTTCTATCTATGATATTGCTTGAGTAATCATGCCAAACACGATTAAATACTCATTCTCTTTACCCACTTTATATGTCTAGAGCAACAGGTGTGTCCTTGATACAATCTAACCAGCGTTAAACTAGTCCAGGCCCCACCCACTTTTGAATCATGCTGGATTCGCCCTGGCTATTATGCCTAACGAGGTCGAACACCCGGTATCTAAGATCTGAAATAATCAGATATAGTCCATTCACGAAAACACCGGAGGTCCGAGTGCTCTGAGCTGTTCAAGCTATTGATATTATTCAAAGAACCACAGCGCCTAAAGTGTATATTCTGATATTCAAATTTTAAAAAATCTGTAATAGCTTTAATCAACTGTTAGAACACTGAGAGTGGTTTTTCAGTCTTCCCTAAGCATTTCACAGGTGTGCCGACAAGCATACATTCCACCTTAGACTTATGGTAATAATTTCGATAGAATCAGATTACTGCATTCAAACTGAATCGAAAATGAGAGAATTAAAATGTGAGGAAAATCTAGACTTGCTTAATTTACATTAATTGCATTACAGAAGGGAATGCGAGCTCGAGGATGGGAAAAATATGGTTCATTGACTGGGAGACAGACTGATTCCGCACATTCACCACCTAGTATAATCTGGTTCCCGGCTGCTTTTGCGTGCGCCACCTTGGGATATGCGAGACGGGGCCCAGCTTACACCAGGTACAGCAGTGTGATGCGCGCTCGTCCTCCAGGACAAAAAGAAGATATATTACGAGCGCCTCTAACACTGGTGACCATACATATGTCTTGAACTGGCCTAGATTTAAGAACCGGGAAGTAATATAAGGAATCGCTGTTTCAACACATGTAAACTTACCATTTTCTTCGAACGTTGCCTTTAGACTGAATCATTTTACCATTCGCGGAACGCTTGTTTATGTTAAAAAGAGAATCAAGAAGACACCTGTGACAGAGTTACCTTCAGCGAGTCCAAACGCTGTGCAGAGTTGCGACCTTTGTGCACGCCAGGAGCCTATGGTTCTTGGTTCGAATCCCTGTTCTCCCCAATTGTGTTTCTTGGTTTGACGGCACCATGTCCGTTCTCAAGGGTTTCACCAAAGAGATACACATCTAAGGAGACCTGCACTTCGGGTCTTTCTCACACATCAAACTGACTGCGTTGAAACCAACTCTCTCTCTCACAAAGTTGTACCAGGGATACTCTACAACATTATATAGTCTCCCTGGTTGTACACAGTTGAAAGGTGGACACTTATCATCACAGACATAGCCAAATATTAATCACACTTGTTAAATTATGTGGGTTTTTTAATATGTCATATTGGACCAAGGGTGTTTCATCTGATAATTGATAAGCACGGATGTTACTCAGCATGTAAGTTTGTTGTGGGAATAAATTGTGCTGTGATAAAACAAAACAAAACAAACTTCTAAAATGTCACTTAAAGAGGTTTCACGGAAGGGTTAAAAGAATCTTATTTTTATAACATTACCATTTATTACATTACTCGCTTACTAATTCAGAACACTATTTCTGTCTTGCATCTGTAAGACTGCATTACGTGACTTAATGTCTGGGAATGGACTCGTATTTTCTGTATATGAATCTCTCCTTTAAGAATGTGTTTGGAATCCAGTTGCTTACTATCGTGGCTTAGTTTTGCTCGGATTTCGCTTTCATTCTTAAAAAACTATTTTCCATGGTCTCAGATAACAAAGCCTTCGTAGCGATGAGACTACAGTGACCGGCAGTATTATGCATCATAAATATGTTGGGTTTTTAAAACTGAATGCATCCAATAATTAATTTAACGTGTTGACATGAATCACCGAAGTCGATGCCGAATTTTTTACACGTCCCCTCCGGCGACATCGCTGTTTGCACGATTTCCGACAAAATTTGAAATCATGCACCGTAGTATCACGAACAGAATAAAAATAAATGTTTGTTGCGCGGGTAACAGGTGATGTAAGAAATGAGAATTACTTCCCTTGGACATGTTTCCGGTGTAAACAAGCATGGCGCAGTCTGTCCAGCATGATCACTCGTCGTCGAGAATTATACATGTTGTGAAGGGAATTTGTTGTCAGTTATCCGCAAGCAAAGGTCTAGAATGGAACAAAATTAGCATATGCAAACGATCACGAGATCTGAAAGATGGAGAGTTTGTGATCCCCAAGGGAAGCACACCCAAAGCTATCGAAGAGGTGTGTCTTCTTGTGTGGAAACAGACATCAGGGGCAGTGTGACAGGCCTTTAATTATATTTCACATACAAGAACCGTTTGGTAATCTTATTTTTCCCGGACCACCAGAGAGTTCATATTAGCATACGCTGTCAAAATCTTATCAAACTACCCAAGACACTAGTACCCGCAGGGGCGTGGCGACCATTATTAAAAAAAGCCAGGGTTTACACATGATTTTGAAATTGAAAGTTGGGCAAGTCCTCAATACTATCTACATATAAAGTTTTGCAACCTATCGGGCTTACACGACAAAATTGGCATGCTACCCCACCTGATAAACACGTCGAAAATGAAAGATCCTCTATTATCGAAGTAGAATGATTATGAACGCCTACTGACATTTAGCATTTTCTCTACATATTTTCAGTTGAATGATGTTTAATCTTCATTTCTGTCTCAAACAATGTGGCATGTAATCGCAACTCGTTCAATGCGATCACAGCAATCAGTGTTCATATTTAAAAGTATGTTCTATGCTGTTGATAATTATTCTTTTCAAAATTTAAAATAACAATCATTAGTGATGTGTCCAAGAATCTAACCTGACATTAATTTTGTCAGAAAGACTGGATTTTTAAATCTAACGTATAATATAAACTCACATCGGCATCACTTACACATTTTCTAAGTCCACACTATTCACCATATTATGTTTGTTTTTGTACGCTTTGTTTTTTTCTTCCAGACACCCTCTGTTCTGCTGGAGTATCTTCAGTCTCAGTTGCCCTGTCTCTGCTCTGTGGATCTACCTGTTACTTGTGTGGACTCAGACAAATATAATCATGCAAGGTTACATGTTGATAGACCGAACGGTTTTTCAAATATCATCAGGCAGGTTGGAGAAAGGGGAGACAACTATGGCAACTGTCCACATAGATCTTCCCATCCCACGATGCTCAACCCATCAGACCTTCTGTGTATTAATGATGACGACTTCGTAGCCACACCAGCACATCTCCGATATCTCATAGTGCTCCAGCATGTCAAACACCTACTGTCTGCAAATGGGTAAGAAGCTTTAGAGAAACATATTGATATTATAACATTTCCATGATAAAATGCTCTTAGCTGTGTACCTGCAAAATCATGGCTGGGGATACCAGAAATTGGCGTTACACATTGTAAAAATGTGGGGAATCAAACCTGTATCTTTAAAGTGATGAATGATCATAGCCACATGGGTACCCCCTCCACTCCAATTGGTTACAGTAAATTACACTTCAAGTGGTTCTGGAATCTCTTTAACATTTTTAATCTAATTATTTAATATCATATTATACCTCTAAGAGTTAAGATCAGCGGACACTTTCATAACTGGTCATGCTACTTGAAACATAGGCAATCTTAAACCAGCCAATGATTCTACTTCATGTTGTCTACCAACTTGATTTTTTGTTTTGATTTAACTGAAAGATAATTAAGAAATACACTTCGCTCTACCACCATGTATAGTGTAATAAAACACACTTTTGCCCTGAACTATTATAGTTAAAAGCAGGACGCTTTAAGCGTCGAAAGTGCTTTAACTTTATAATAGTTCAGGGCTTAAAGTGTGTTTTATTACACTATACATGGTGGTAGGGCGAAGTGTATTTCTTTCTAAGATGCCAAATTTAATACTTTCTAAAGATAATTACGATTAATTTAAGGCAGAAAACAAACGACGGTGTCGGTGACCTAAATTAAGAATCCTCGCGACAGGGCTAACTGGCTGTTCTATTGATGTGTCTGCCCCCTACGTTAAGACTAACGTTACCAGAAAAAACAAATGATAACAGTTTGATGACGGTTTACGTTCGGATTAAATATCTTCTCTGAATTATTTTAATTACATCTGTCATTAACGTAAACCATATGGGGCAATATGAACGTTGCATTTCTACTAAAAGCGTAAGTTTAGATCAGTACATCCAGAGGAAGTTGAGTAGTCAAGCGACATTCCACAATTGCATTGTGGGAATGTAAACATTGCAAACGTTACCGTGTCGCTGAAAACTTGTGAGTCAAAATGACACATTTTAACCGTCGTAAAACATAAACGTAATGTTTCCACCAGTGATGTTAGCTGCGTGAAGCAACAGCAAACCAAGAAACTGGATGCAACGGTGTAGTTTACTGTAGGAGGCCGTACGAGGTGATGACAACTGACATGCATCGTGACGTCGCTTACATTGTGACGTAATGTAAAATGGTTCAATTACGAGGGGGCACACTAGAATGGCGCAGTGACGGGATAACGTCATTCAATTGTTACGTCATCAAAAAACTATACCTTTATTGTCTGATAATGTTTGTTTTTTTCGATTGTTCTAACCGCTAGGCATCTTAGAATGACAAATGACATGTCACAGATGTCATTTGTGTGAAGATGCAGCTATATATGATATAGAGCTCAGAAATGATGGGTGTATGAAATATCCACATCGATGTTCGATAATGTGGCCCTAATGGTGTACTTTTGGAATGGTCTTTTAACTTGTTTTTATGAAACAGAAATCAGAAAGCTTTCTCACTTTGGTTACTCATTCAGTGATTTCATTTCTAGAAATGCCCCCAGGTGGTAATGAAGAGAGGTATTGTTCAGGAATAAACATTCTGATTTTAATGAGATCGAAGGGGATCAGTCAAATACCAGAAGTACTGGATTGCACTGGTCATAAACCAGTTGTACTAGATTCGACGAGTTAAAAACCAGTATTTACTTATATACTCTACCTAGAAACCTTGTCTTAATACATATGATATAGAACCCTTAGTATGGTTGTGTCCATTACTTCCATGTTCACAGGTATCTGAGTCACCAAGTTCCTGTTGCAAGGTCAACCAAACTGTGCGACATTTCAGCATCTCTTGGACTTGATTCCTGTCAGTCAGCAGCAGAAGTTTCAGAAGATGAGAACCGTTGCCATGACATTCTGTCCAAGCTGAGAGAGTCTCAGTACACTGAACAGCTGGTTTCATTGACTAAACAGAAAGGGGATAGTGAAGATGTTGATGCATCAAGTGACAGACAACATGCTGTAGTCATTAATTTGAGACATTTCATGGATGATAACAATATAGAAGCTGGAAAAACTGGGTACGATAAGAATCTGTCTCTTGTGGATGGTGAGTCTGTTACCACGGTTACATTTTACCATGTTAAACCATATTTGTCATAATAGCTCATCGTGTCTGATTATCAAAATGACATGTATGTTAACTTTCTTATATCATGGTAAATGGTACGTTGACTCTTTGTTTGAAGATTCGGGTTAGAATTGGTCTTCAGTAACCCATGCTTGTCATAAGAGGCGACTAATGGGATCGGATGGTCAGACTCGCTGACTTGGTTGACACATGTTATCGTATCCCAATTGCGTAGATTGATGCTCATGCTGTTGATCACTGGATTATCTGGTGCAGACTGATTATTTACCGACCGTTGCCATACAGCTGGAATATTGCAGAGTGCAGCGTTAAACAACAAACAAACCAAACAACATGTTTTCAAATGTTTTAGAATAATGGCAGACACCGAAGTGCCTGTAGAGAGTTATCTCCCTTTACTGTTGGTCAATAAGGATTCTTTCAGTGGAAATTTTGGGTCTGACCATGGCTGAGATTGACATTCTCTTTTGTTAGAATATTCTAAGGCAGATACTCCAGCAAAATCTGCTCTTGAGAAGTCTTTATTGAGCAGTACTTTTCCATACTTTGACCTAAAACCTGCTATATGGCAATGTATCAGAAGTATGTGACAGCAAAGATGGCACAAACATATAACTAATAAGCTTCATGCCATACAGCCCTTGATAGGACATCTAGACTAACAGCTAGTCTCTGAAATGAACATATTTTACAGAAAAACCTTTTAAATTTAAATATAATAAATTATGAAGGAGCCCAGAGACTTTATTCATTATCATGCCCTTTCTGAGGTTGAAGTTGTGATCTGAAGCTCTCACATTGTACTCATTCTCTTTTAATTGAAGGGCTTCGTGGTTAAAGCGTTTGCTCATCACGTCGAAGACCCAGGTTTGATTCCCCCACATGGGTATAATATGTGAAGCCCATTTCTGGTGTCCCCCAGCCGGGATATTGCTGGAATATCAATAGCAGCGCAAAACCATACTCACTCACTCACTTTTAACTGAAGGGAGATGATCCCCCTCAATGTATTCCTTGTCACAGTCCTATGACTGCCGTGCACTTTTATTGGGATTTTGCACTAATTTGTCATTATTATACTGTTCAAAATATTTTTCAATACAGTTTCTAACCCCATATTTTAACCTTTTTTGAAGGGAATTAAAAATATGATAAGAAGTAAATTTAAAGCTTTTAGTGTCAGGTTGACTGTGAAAATGGACGGAAGTTTTACTTTGTCATCACTTTTGTTATATGTTCTTCTCAATAGGAATTCTTTTTTTCTAGCTGTGACGCCGTGAAATAGTTGTGACATTGCTGATGTGGTGTTAAGTAATATTCACTCACTCACTCATTTTCTTGCCATGAATAGCTCCAATATTGCTGATGTTTCATAAGCAAAATTTACTCATTCATTCACACACTCACTCACTCAATCATTCAGCCTATGACTTTGTAAAATAATTCCCAGTGTAGTATTGATAGAGGTGTGACAATACAGAAATTTCATGATGCGATACGTATCGCGATAGCTTGAAACGATGCGATTTGATGCATATCACGAAATGCAGTCTTTAGTTATTTTCTTTAAAAAAGTATATTTTAATAGCGAGTACTAGTGTACATAACTGTCAGTTTCTGGTGAAAATTAACATTCTTATTAAGGTCAACGAAACATATCACGATACGAAAAAAAGTATCGATATATTTATCGTCAGATAAAGCATCATGATTATCGATACTACAATATATCATCACAGCTCTAAGTATTAATCAGCAAGTTTCGTAAAGCTGAGACTTACACATACTCTAAATAATAATGTCGAAATAAATGTTTAGACAAGAAAACATGATAACTCAGGAATATTTGGTTCAGATTGTTCACCACAGTTACATCTCATCACCGGCTTTCACTCTGGCTGATTCTGCTCACATGTTCTCCCAGATAATAGCAATCTGGGATAATCCTTTCACTTTGGTGACAGAATGTTCATTTGTTTTCTTAATGATCATTGAAATATTTCACTCTCATAATTTATACTGTCAATACAAACAGTTTTGTAGGAATGTTATACAGCTGTGTAATGTCAATGTGGATGTCACCATGATGAACTGTTTCCACCAGCAATGGAAAGACGTGTGATCAGTGTTGCCCTCACCTCCTCTGCAGGGGTGGTGGGGTAGCCTAGTGGTTAAAGTTTTCGCTCATCACACCAAAGACCCAGGTCAGTTCCCCACAATGTGTGAAGCCCATTTCTGGTGTCCCCACGGTGATATTGCTGGAATATTCGTAAAAGCAGCATAAAACTAATCTGACTCCTTCTCCTGCAGTGTGTCATGAAGATGGTCCCACCGACAACGTCCTACACATCTCAAGGCTACAGGAATTCGTATCACAAAAGGTAAAGGTGATGCCAGTTATACTCAAGGAGAGATGCAGATACAGATTCTACATTATTTTGACAGAGAACAGATTCTGAAGCTCATCCAATTTGGCGCTATTATAAGGTGTCGCAGTTAATCTCGCCGAGCTGCATTGCTTGGGCATTCCAAAAACCTATTCTAATTTGTTAAAATTCTGGGATGCCCCAATGTCACTCACTCACTCACTATGAGCTATCTTTGGTAAACTCCTCTTTGCTAATCAAATAGTCCATTCAGTTGCTGTAGTCATGGTTTCCAAAATTATTATAAAAGCATCTTTCAAACCCTGTATGTAACGGTGGAGTTAGGTTTATTGCTGCACTGAACATGATATAACAGCATCTCAGAATGATGTTGGAGGAAAGCCTATCTAAGAGGTAGGTGCTACCTCTTTTGATTAGCAGCAAGCACCTGACTGGTACTGACAGAATTAGGAGGGGAAATGGAATTCAAACTCACAAACATGGGTTTCTAGAACTGCAAATTGCATCACCTACAACAGCCCAGCCATACCAGCCATACATTATATCCCAAACCAGAGCCTTTGCTGTGATAATTAGACATAACTTCTAGAACTTTTGGGAAAGTAAGATTGGTTGATTGAGTGTCACTGTAATGTTGCTTATGATATCCGGACGTGATTATTTACAGGCTGTCGTAGTATTGCAGGATTATTGTCAAGTACCATGTACAATAAATCAAAACAAGAGTATTTCCAGTATCCCATGAATGACGCTGATGTTGTATTGCCGTAGATGGAGTCTGCTGTGCAGATGATACACCTGGTGACTGAGACTCGAGCCTTCACCCAGCAACAGACTGACCTATTGTGGAGGATTGCAGGGGTGGACGGGTTGGTGGGACAGACCCATTTTGTTCTGGGGTCAGTTACAGGAAGGTCTGGTCAGCCATGCAGTAAAACAGCTCAGGAATTTATTCAGTAAGTATAGGGTGGAGACAGCTTGGTAGGATAATATTCGCTCCCATGAAGTTTTGAAACATTAAAACCCTATTGTGCTGGGTAGTCTTTTTTGTTTTAAAAATGAATCTGTCTTGTCGGTTAGATATCTTATTCACCTCATGTCATTTTTGTTGTCAGTTTCATCACTTGAAAGAAAAATGAGTGTAAGAATTCTTCATGATAAATGTTCAATTTTTGACATTCCCAATGTACTGGGATCAGTCATCAGTTGTAAACAATGTACAAAAGAGATTTGGAATGTCTTCAAACCTGCGTGGGCTTCCAATTTTTCTTTGTGCCTGTCTCACATCAGAATATAATCCCTAATTCTCTGATATACCTTTTAAAGCAGAATAACAGTAAGAACTTGGAACATTTTTAGGTTGAGGCTGGACCAGATGAGAGAGGCGTCCATCATGAAATATGGAGATGAAGTTCAAGGTAAGGCCTGTTGACATAATCAGCTCATTTGATGTGGTTGAACTAAGATCTAAGTAGTTTGCACAGGATAGATTTACTACTTCTGCTTTGTAGAGGTTTGCCAACAATTAAAGTTGGTTGGTTGGGTGGTGTTGAATGCTGTAATCAGCAATATTCCAGCTATATGGCGGCACCTGTAAATGATCGAGTCTGGACCAGACAATCCAGTGATCAACATCACGAGCATACAAACGTGCGCATGATAAGAGTGACTGTTCTTTCAATAAGCAGTGGTGAGATGAAGGGTGTATTTGTAAAAATGCCTTTGATGTGTCCGTGGTATGTCCGTGATATGTCCTTCATATGTCCTTGACATGTCTGTTATATCAATATGTCTTTGTATGTCCTTAACATGTTCATGATATGCCCATTAGTCCTTACCATGTCCCTAACATGTCCGTATGTCCTTATAACATGTCCATATGTCCTTAAAGTCCTTAACAATGTCCATAACTCCCTAATGTGTCCACATGTCCTTAGCATGTTCCTAACATGTCCATTAATATGTCCCTAACATGTCCTCATGTCCTTAACATGTCCATATGTCCTAAATGTGGCCTTATGTCCCTAACATGTCCATGTGTCCTTAACATGTCCTTATGTCCATATGTCCCTAACATGTCCATGTGTCCTTAACATGTCCCTAACATGTCCTTATGTCCATATGTCCCTAACATGTCCTTAAGTCCCTAACATGTCCTTAAGTCCCTAACATGTCGCGGAAGGTCGCGGGTTTGATCCCTGACCGCGTCATACCAAAAGACGTTAATATATGGTACTTGTTGGTCCCTGCCTGGCGCTTGGCATTAATGGGTACAACAAGGACTGGTCGACTCGGAGTCAGTATAATGTGTCTGAGTGGGGTATTCATGCTTAACTGTGGCATGGTATCTCAGTGGGCTAGCACTATAAAACCAGCTTCAGTCTGGGCTAGTACAATCAGCTGCACATACACATACACACGCATGCACATCATCATATAAGCGAAATATTCTCAAGCACGACGTTAAACCCAATTTCACCTCACCTCACCCTATTATGTCCTTATGTCCATATGTACCTAACATGTCCATATATCCTTAATATGTCCATGTGTCCTTAACATGTCTATATGTCTTCCATATGTTCCTAACATGTCCATGTGTCCTTAACATGTCCATATGTCTTCCATATGTTCCTAACATGTCCATGTGTCCTTAACATGTCCATATGTCCTTAATATGTCCATGTGTCCTTAACATGTCCATATGTCTTCCATATGTTCCTAACATGTCCATATGTCCTTAACATGTCCATATGTCCTTAATATGTCCATGTGTCCTTAACATGTCCATATGTCTTCCATATGTTCCTAACATGTCCATGTGTCCTTAACATGTCCATATGTCTTCCATATGTTCCTAACATGTCCATGTGTCCTTAACATGTCCATATGTCTTCCATATGTTCCTAACATGTCCATGTGTCCTTAACATGTCTATATGTCTTCCATATGTTCCTAACATGTCCACATGTCCTGAACCACAGGCAAATTGTAGCGCAAATAGGGTTGCGCAACAAAGAGAAAATGACCAGTCTTCCTATATGTGAGCGAAGCATGTCAATATCTCCTTAACATGTCCATGTACATGTTATGACCATATGTCCTTAACTTATCCATATGTCCTTCATATGTCCATGTCCTTAACATGTCCATGTTATGTCCATATATCCATGACATGTCCATATGTCTTTGTATGTCCATGACATGTCCTTGATATGTACATGGTGTGACATTGATATGTCCTTGATCTCTGTGGACTGTGAGATATGAGCCATAAGGCACCACCTATGTTTTAGTATGACCATACCTTTTTGTGCAGGCGAGGGATGGGAGACAACTCTGTCAGGAATGTCTTCAGCCAGTATTGCTTTTGAGATGTTGACTACAGCCAGTAGAAACAGTGTAAGTAACTGGTGGTGTTTACTGCTCAATACTCAGTTTTGTCTTCCTTGTTTAACTATAAAGGCATTAATATCCCAATGATGTCTATCTTTCTTTATGGGAATTCAAGGGAAGAACAGTTTCCAAAGTGAGGATGAGGTTGTTAAACTATGATTTGACTGTGTGTCATGGTACCTAAGGCAGCCATCACACACAAACTAAGGTTTGACAACACATGTTGTTCAAATTTTAAAAGTTGTCAAACTCGCGTTTTCACACGTCAAACACATGTTGTTAAAATTTCGTGTCATTTGACCGATGCCATTTTGTAGGTCAAGTTGACCAGATAACCAAAACATCATGGCACAATTTCGTTGACTGCAATTGGTTGTTTCTGAACAACACGATTTTGACAACACTTAACACATCAAACTCAAGTTTGACATCACCGAAAGTGTGATGGAAAAGTTGGTGAGAATAGAGACCGATCCTATTTCTCGACAACAGTTTGATCAACTTCTTTATTGTACTACTGCGACATTTCGGTGTAGATGCATGTGATGGGGAATGAGTACAGCAGGATATATATAAGGCACATGAGGGCTAACAAAGACAATGGATGATAAAACAAGATGATTAACAATGAAAACAAGCATAAATATACTAGTACATGAAATAAGCCGAGGCAAGATAACAACTAGTCTGTCGTACAGACCCTGAAGCAAATATATCCAAGAAAGCCCACGCAAGTCTAGAAAATGTGGCAAGTCTAGATTTCCTCACCTATATGAAGAAAGTCTCAGGGCTCCTTTTCATTAGATTATATATTTTTTACTATGAACTTTTTTCAGTAAAATATGTTTATTTCAGAGACTAGTTGTTAGTCTAGATAACAACAAGATGAATAGGATACCAGTAGGAGTGGGAATAACTAATTAGCCGAAGGGATTAGTTAGAGAAGCCAGAGAGAGGGAGATAGGGTTAAGTAGTTTCGGATTAGGTGGTGGTAAGCAGATGGGATGAAATAGCCCTTTTTGGGCGGTATCTTTTTATGTGTAGTGCTTCAGTCAATTTCCTTGTAGTGTCATCATGTTGATTGTTTGCTAGTGTTTTGACAGTGTCCAAACTGATGCTATGCTGAGGAAATTTGATGATGTGTTCCGGAATGGCTGATTTGGTGTTTGAGTTGTTTGTGGATGTCTTGTTTTCTTTAATGCGAATGTTGAGTGGTCTAGATGTTTCCCCGATGTAGTTGCTGCCACCGTCGCAGCTGATGTTGTAGACCACACCCTTGGGGTGTTCTTGTGTTGCGTATGTTCTACAGTTAGCCCTAATGGTGGTTTTGAGTGGAGTGGCGGTGGTGAAGTAAGTGTCAATGCCTCTTGTTGCTGTCACAGTAGTACAATAAAGAAGTTGATCATCCATAAACACTTGTCATTCCTATCGGGTTTGAGGGTCTGAACATTCCACTCCTTAGCCACCAACACCAAAGTCAGAGTTGTTAAACTGTTGTCGACAAATAGGATCGGTCTCTATTCTCACCATCCAGTTGATCATCCGTAAACACTTGTCATTCCTATTGCTTACAACTTCTAGAATGCCTCACAAACAGTTCTCAAACCCGAGTTTGACTATATATGTTGTCAAACTTTAGCTTGCCATGTGAAGGCTGCCTAATTCACAGAACACGAGTGATAATATCAGTCATTGTTTGCACATTTGCTTATCCATCTGTATGTCAAGCTTTTTAAAATATCACCATTTGATGTATAAATCTATATGTAACATTGTTTAAAGGTCACATGCAACCAAAAAATCAAACATAATTAAAACACAATTATCACTTATTCATGACATATAATATACATTGCTGGTTATGAAAAAACATATAAACAAAATTATATACTTGGGTTTACTTCCCAAGAAACGAAGCAGCCGGGATACCGAACCCAGTCAGAGCGGGTGGGTGTGCACTCAAGTGTAACGGCTGGTTCATTTGCGGACGCCCTCATGACTCATTGTGTGTGTATATATAGAGATGCTGGGTTTTGTAAATACATGCTCATTTTTTGTGTATAACATTTTGCAATCAACAGACATCACAACATGTCATGTGTACAAGTATCACACCTGCCTGTCTGTGTAATTACATAATGTGACAGAGACTGAACTCGGGCCATAAATCAATGCATTTTGTTTATGGTGTATAGCCTGATTGGTGTTAAGTTCAAATTGCATGTGGTCAGTGATCGCAGAACTTTGTGTATTGAATATGGTCATTAGCAGACAGGCAGGCAGACACATAGGTGTCAATAAAACAGACATTGAGTTTTGTCTGTGACAACGACATATCTATATCACAGTTAGAAATTCTGTCAATGCTAAATAATGACATTGCTTTTAAGTATCGAACTGAGAAAGTGACTCGGTAAGAAGAACGTGTGGTGAAATAGACAAATGAAATTATATAAACAGTTAATGTACTGTCATGACATATAAAAAGCTCGTGCCTGTGAAATATCAACAAAACATTAGAAAAATAGCTCACACCAAAGCCTTCACCGAGTATTCACCGGACAACCCGCTTCCAAGCTGCGCCAACCTATTTCACTGCGCACATGCTATGAGCGCAGCCCAGCTGTTGAAACCACTTGTTTTCCCCCAAGCGCTGGGGGAAAATTAGGGAATCGTTTGAACTCCGATTTCGTGCGGGTTTTTTCATCACGTTATTTTTCAACTTTATAAGTTGAATTTGCATTTTTGATGATTTGTTTCGGTAAGTCCATACCGAAAAGGTATCAGAATCTGCAAAGTTGTGTTTTACGTTGCATGTGACCTTTAAGAATACTGAAATTGAATATGCAGTGACTTCATTAGTTACTAGGAATTTTAGGTTTTAGTATTTGTATATTTACAGTTTTAACTGTTTATGTTTTAGTTAAACTTGTCTACAGATCTGCAACAGAGTCTCACATTCCTATTGGTGTATTGTTTGTACAGGTGAAGCTGGACCTGTCTGATGAGGACCGTATGGGTGCAGAGAACAGAGCGGGGGCATTTGTCATGTACAACTGTGCCAGACTCTCTACCCTCTTTACTCATTTTGAGGATGCTGTGAAGAAAGGTTCAGATGTTGTGGTGGTGGTGGAATTGGGTTTAACGTCGTGCTTGAGAATATTTCGCTCATATGACGATGTGCATGCGTGTGTATGTGTATGTGCGGCTGCTTGTACTAGCCCAGACTTCAGCTGGTTTTATAGTGCTAGCCCACTGTGATACCATGCCGCAGTGAAGCAAGAATACCCCACTCAGACACATACTGACTCCGAACAGACCAGTTCTTGTTGTACCCATAAATCCCGAGCGCCAGGCAGGGACCAACAAGTACCATATTTTAACGTCTTTTGGTATGACGCAGTCGGGGATCGAACCCGTGACCTTCCGCACTCCGGGCGGACGCTCTAACCACTACACCACGGAGGCGGTTCAGATGTTGTGAAACAGAGTAGTCTTAAATAAAGCTTATCTTGTATAGTATTCTCTAAATCTTAGCTTAGGTCTTCTGCATGTTTTAGTTGGTTTAAGAGACCAACAAACAAAAAGAGAGTAAAATTACAAAGGACTGTTTTATCCTGGTTAGGTTTATTCGAAATTAGGTTTAATTATACAATTGATCCTAATTTTGTTCCGGTTTTTGCTCAGTACTATCAGTGTATGAAATAAAGCCCGTCCGACCGCCCCAGACGGTCTAGATTTCTGACGGACGGTCTAAATTTACAGCTAGCCAGCCCGATGGTCTGGTAAAAAATTTAGATGTTCAGTACATCTGAGTAAATTCACCATATTTGGTCTGGTTAAATCCATTTTGGGCTGGTAACATTTTGAAGTTACCAGCCCTGATGTCTGGCTGGAATTTTGGCTATTTCATACACAGGCGTTATATCCACATGCTCATGGATTTTACCAAAGTGGTAAATGGCAGAGACCTGCATCATTTTGGAATCCCAGCATCTCAAGCTTTTTTCTGTTTTGGAGTTGGAAGGTCTGTATATATGTATCAGTGTGTGAACACAGATGGTAAAGGGTAAATGACTATTCTTTCACTCACAATGCTGTATATCATTTCACTTGTCCTGTTTTTCTTATAAAGAAAATCCTATGTCACTAGGAATCTACCCTCCTCTCCCGTCCATTGAAGATGTCACGTTTGAGCATCTAAAACAAGAGGTGAGTTAAATCAAACAGTGTCCTCGGATGTCAGGCACTCTAGAGCCATCAACTAACCACACTTTCATATCACTGACAGAAAAAAGTAACTGTGCATAACATGAAATTGCATAAAATATAAGTTATTTGAAAAGTGATAAAAATAACTCGAAATAAACTTTTTCGTAACAGTGCTCTGTACATGACCTTGTATTCTTCAGGAGGAATGGGAGTTGTTGTTTAACTACATCTACCCGTACCCAGACGTCGTAGAACAGTGCGTAGAGAAACTGGCGCCCTCTACTGGAGACATACAGGCTCGCATACACACACACAAGGTACTTTATGGCACAAGGCCTCTTTGTACAGCAACCTAAGGCAATATAGAATAAGATGTGTGTGCTACATGACTACAAGCTGAACAACCACCTTTGTCTGATGAGATGAAATAAAAATATTCCATACACCTTAAAGACTACCAAGGTTTGGCTGAAAACCAGATTTGGGTTAGGATTTGGGCAGGGATATTGAAATGGCCTCCTCCTGTCAACCTGCTTGTAATGCTTCACTTCCAGAATGTAACCTAATATGCAGGGCTCCAGATAAGGGCCGTATCGGCGTATGTACGGATAAAACATATGCACGATACAGTAGGAAATAATTTGGAAAACGTAGCAGATACGCACAACGACAATGGTCCTAGAATCATTTACAGACGTATGTATCTGAAAAAGTATTGTTTTATTGTTTATTGACCTGTTTACACAAGAGTAGCGATGTTGTGGTGCATATATGACACGAAACACAGGATTTCTGATATGCCATTAAATTCCATTCAGTACTCTTAAGATTTTCCAGTATTGAAAAAATAAGGAGTACGTACTCTGATGTTGAAAAATTATCTGGAGCCCTGAATATGGCTATTCATGTTGTATGCACATCAGGAAAGTGCTGATGTCATCATTTCTACACAAAACTTTGCAAATTTACAAGGGTAATATTTTACAGAATGTCAGTACATTCACAATATGTCAGCAGAAAGACTTTCGTGGAAATATGTGCGTTTTTGACATTTCATTCAATCAGTGAATGTTTTGTCCATTGTATTAGTTAGGAGTGTAATTCTAAGACAGTAATATTTTTTTCTGATTTTTATATCATGCTCAGTCACATGGCTTCAATCAACAGGATGTCAGTAGAGATCTAAACCTGACTTGATGAATCTTGGAGGAGATATCTTTACTCACAAAAATTATTTTGGATTGGTACAGATCAGCAACTTCCTTATCAGCTTCAGTCGGTGCTTGAGCTCCTATTACAGCAGAGTGCACATCCTAGGGGTGAGTTGACATCACAAGTTAAACCACTAGGGAAAGTTATGTCCATTGTTCTTGGAAGTGTTTTATTAGCATAACTGAATAACTGCCCTAGGGCAATTATTTCTATTTAAAAACAATAAAATTGTACTTCTTTTGATAATCTTTATCATCCCTAATACATTACACGCGTATTAAATAAGTATGCCCTCGTGGTGTAAGCCGTTTAATCACCCTCACTACAGTAGTTATTTAAATAAGCTGTGCTTGGGCTAAAGGGTGATTAACCTATACAAACCAAGTACCTGCTACAGAACCACCATCGGAAATGAATTGTCCATGACAACATTGTCAAAATATTCCTTGATCTTTCCCAGAACCTCCTTCATGACTTCCCAATATCCTACATCAGCACTTTTCTACATCCTTCCCCTACAGTCTCCATTGGAAATCCAGTGTCATGACAACATTGTCAAAATATTCCTTGATCTTTCCCAGAACATCCTTTATGACTTCCCAATATCCTACGTCAGCACTTTTCTACATCCTTCCCCTACAATCTCCATTGGAAATCCAGTGTCATGAGAACATTGTCAAAATATTCCGTGATCTGTCCCAGAACCTCCTTTATAACTTCCCAATACCCTACATCAGCACTTTTCTACATCCTTCCCCTACAATCTCCATTGGAAATCCAGTGTGACTGGTAACCTTCTCGCGCCTTACAGGCAACTTGGGTGAACCAGGGTAATAATCTCTGCGCTTTGCAGGGACCGTTCATAATTTATGACTAGGGTGGGTAATGATGATTTTTATGGAGAAGCATCTACAATGTGACTGACCCCGTCTAAAGTGTATGTACAAAGTAAGTGACACCCCCACCCACACACCAACCCCACCCACCCACCCTGCATGTCATGTACAAATACATAGAACCCCCTTCCCATAATTTCCCAGTTTTTAGCATGTATTTCAATATTCTTATGTACAAAATTGATGACCCCCAACTCCCCAGAACAAAATGGGTGAACCCCTTAAAATCATCATTTCTTCTTTCTCTCTCCCCCCATAAATTATGAACGCACCCTTAACACCACTGATCATCAATGAAGCAGATATTTGGCACTCTTTTAAAGTATAATATTTTGTATAGATACCTTTCCCATTTTTCATTTGCTGAGATCATTTTCTGAATGAAGGTGGGTAAGGAACAAAACCCAACCCTGAAAAGACATTTTATTCATTTTAATGTGGACAAAGTTGGCTCTCTGTCGGCCTCTCCAAACCCTCCACTGAGGTGTTGTCAAATCTTTATCCAGTTGTTTTGTGTCAGAGTGAAAGATCTGATATCGATGAGATTGAGCAGCAAGTTCACTCACTACTCAAACAGTCATAGTGAGGTGTGTGGTCCAGCCACTATGCTTGATGTTGGTGTTGACCACCTTTCTGATTGTGTTCCCAGGATGGCAGGCCACACCTTCTGCCTCTGATGTACGCACGGCTTCACCTGATAAGGGCTGCTCACCAAGTGATCAAGAACGGTCTTAACCTGATGGGAATACAGCCTTTCTCACAGCTATAACAACATTGGATAATATTTATTCATATGTCAGTTGTAAGTTCAATATCACACACTGGGACTCCCCCCGAGAGAACTGGCGAGCAACCCATGCTTGTTTGAAGAGACGACAAGCGGGATTGGTGGTCAGACGTGCTGGTATTTACAGACTGAAGTCGTTCAGCTGGAATAATACTGATTGTGGTTTTAAACCCAACAATATGTTCTGTTATCAGTGTATGAAATAAGCCCAAAACCCAGCCAGACATCAGGGCTGGTAACTTCAAAATGTTACCAGCCCAAAATGGATTAAATCAGACCAAATATGGTGAATATACTCAGATATATGGAACATCTACAATTTTTACCAGACAATCGGGCTGGCTAGACCGTCTCGGACCTTATTTCATATACTGCTGTTAACATTGCAGAGTTGACATCTACGGGTCTGATATTACTTAATTGTACTGGATATAGAATGCATGGTGTATAATTCAGAATATTGAACTGCCAGGCTTAAGACACCATATGCCCATGGTTTATAGTGGCATAGAGGGAGAAGGTTATTTGATGTAGATATATTTAATACAGGTTTCATGGAAGTGTTTTGGACTTTCAGTTTGTGTTACAGAGACTGTTTTCAGCCAAGTAATGTTTTGATAACATTTTGATAACATTTTCAGTGTATACTTTGTTTTGCCTGGCAGTTTAGGTTACTTTGTGGTGCCATCAAAACTTGTTCTATCCAGAGTCGTGGCAATTACTTTTGTCAGATATTAAAACATATTAAACATTGATAAATGTCTTACTTATTTAATTGATTACTAAAACTGTATATATCAACCATTTGGAAGGAAATTGTGGGATGTCTGAAGTCAGGTACACCAGAAAGCGACCTTGGCACTCAGCTGGAAGGGTGTTACTGACTGGTTTAAAGTTTCTAGCTGTCCAAGGAAATGGTTGGTTCTTGGTGCCACATCATTCTGAGGGTTGGAATGGAAGTGGAAGAGTGACAAGTCTGATATTAAGACAGAGATGCAGATGGAAATTTATACCTTTAAGGGTACAGCTCGGATACAAATACTGTAAACATTTATGGCTAAATACTTAAGCGAACTGATAGACATAACGAACCAGCTTGTGTACTAATCAAGAGTTGAGTCTCGCTTAAAGCACTCACTATATGTTACGTATATACATATGGTTACATCCAAGATGAATTTCTCCACAAACTTTGCAGAATCAACTGCAAACCTTATGCATATGAATTGCACGAGGATCATGCATCAAATTGCTGAAAAGCATGTGCAAATATCGTGCATAAGAACAGCTGCGTTTTGGTGTAAAGTTTTATTAAGAATTCACCAATTTTCAGTGAGTTTCATCATTTATTGAACTCATGACAATAATCTTTTCACTGTTACAAATTTGTTTTACAATACATCAGTTCATGTGTTCATGTGTAACAGTACATTTAAACAGTATGGAATATTTCCCAAATCTAGCTTAGAACAGTTGACTGAGGTAGGTGGCTACATTTACACTAGTGAGTCTAAACTTTCGATGGGTAGTATATTTTTTGTCCTGACCACTTGCTGTATCCTGTCTGTAAAAAACTTTTCATCAAACTAAATTTAGTGGTCCCTTTGAGTTATAACTGCAGATTACTGTGTTATATTATACCAACTGTCTGTGGTGTAGCAGATAGAGCATCTGACCAGACCTGGGTTTGATTCCCCACATGGGCACAATGTGTGGCGATGAGATAGCCTGGTCGTGTGAAGCCCATTTCTGGTGTCCCATGATATTGCTGGAATATAATTGCTAAACGTGGCACACATGTCCAAGTGGCATACATGGTGTTAATCACTGGATTGTGTGGTTCAGACTCGATTATTTACAGACCCTCGCCATATATAAAATATAGGCAAACAACCACACATACACGCACGCACGCACACACACACACACACACACACACACACACACACACACACAAACTCACAGACACACGATCACACCTCCCAGGCTGTGGACTAATAGTTAGTCTCAGGAAACATATAGTTCTGATAATAACAAACAGTCCATGAGTCATAGTATAGTATGAACCTGGGAAAATTCTTTCTTCATCTCTCACGTTCCAATAAAGGCTGGGCTCTCACATTCCAATAAAGGCTGGGTTAAAAATATGCTTCAGGTACCATGAGACAGACTACAAAGACTGTCTCTGTTCTGGAAAGTGTTGTTTATATCAAAGACAAACTGACACATACATGTTTTGTTAATTTATTTAGATGCATTTTGTGCCATGTTATCCGTGTTGTATTATATACAACAGTTCCAACTTCTACCTAGTGTGCCTACAGAGCCCGGTGGCAAGTTCTAACTAGGAATCCAGCATACAAATATGTCAGACAGTATTAATGCATTTTCACACCCAGGAATATTAACTTTGTACCCTAAAAGTATGTCAAGATACAATAATACATTTATTACTTTATGATTAAACAACTAATTATTTCATTTCCATATTCTTCATTCTTCCATGGTCACATCTTGCATCTTACAAATATTTCATAGACATCGCAGTTATCAAATCTTTACCAACCTATCCCCCAGTTCTCTGATGCACATGTTTGAACATACACACATCTAAAATATATATATTAAATTCTACTTACACACCCATCAAAACTATAAAAAAAATTAAATGATACCCAATAAATTCAATTAGATTACAGTTTCTGGACATAGATAAATATGTTTAAAACAGACCTAAAAATACAATCACGACATTGAAATTCCACCCTAAAACAGCACCAATCCTACACCCACTGGCAAAGCTAGGTTGTAGCCCCGCCCATGTGGTTGTTGCGTGACCTGTAGGAGTGCGGCAACGTGTAGACAGAGAAGGTGAAGGCCGGGGTGAAGGACAGCGTCGAGATGCTACGATCAACCTGGGGGCGGTTGAGCTTCCGCTTGTGCAGAAAACTCCCAGTGACGAAGTTGCTGGTGAAGAAGTTGGTCATTCGATGTGTTCGGTGAGACGGTGACGTCTTCCGATGCTGAAGAAATATAAAGGAAAACGGCTTTTTTACTATTGTGTGATGTTTCAAAACAATGATACCATTTTGAGAGAGATGGCTCTGCTCTTGGTTAGCATTATGGTTGGATATTGTTCAGCAGTACAACAATCATCATCATCATCACCGTCATCATCATCATCATCATCATCATCATCATCCCATGTATAATGCATAATGCCCCAGGTTCCAATTCCCCCCGTAAATGCAGGGCGGTAGGGTAGCCAATAAAGCGTCTACTCGTCAACCCGTGACGGTCCGGGTTAGAATGTGCCTTCAACCTCGCTGGCTTGGTGGACACATGTCATCGTATCCCCATTGCGCAGATCGATGCTCATGCTGTTGATCACTGGATTGTCTGGTCCAGACTTGATTATTTACAGACCGCCGCCATATAGCTGGAATATTGCTGAATGCGGCGTAAAACTAAACTTACTCACTCACTCTTATACTCGTCACTTTGAAGACCCTGGTTCGAATCCCCACATGGGCACAATGTGTGAAGCCTATTTCTGGTGTCCCCCATCGTGATATTGCCCGACTATTGCTAAAATAAAACTCAATCTCTCACTCACTCACTCCTAGTGAACGCACATTATTATGTTGCTGCTTTATGCGGGGCGACTCAGCGACCTTTACCGCATTACGCATTGCGGTACCATAGACAACAGGGAACCCATGGGAATATAATCACAGGTCCCAAGCAACATTTGCTGGTTGTAAAGAGCGCCTAAATGGATGTGGTCAACAGCCTCAGTTACTGGCTCAGTAAAAGCGGATTGACAGACTCGATTATTTACAGAACCCCTGAATTGTGCATCGACAAACGACCGTGAAGATCCAGGTTAGAATTGGTCTTCGGCAACCCGTGATTGTCGTTAAAGGCGACTAACGGGATCGGGTGGTCAGGCTCACTGACTTGGTTGACGCATGTCATCGTATGCCAAATACGCAGATCGATGCTCATGATGTTGATCACTGGATTTGTCTGATCCAGACTTGATTTTATATTTACAGACCGTCACATATAACAAGAATATTGTTGCGTTACATCAAAGCAACAAACAGCATCGTCCAACAAACAAAACGTAATTAGACTTCAAGGCAGCCTAGAAGGTCATACAAGCTGGTCCCAGACACAAAGGTCCAAACACGTGTCCAAGCCAACAGATTCACAACACTTACTGTTCTCTGGAGGTCAGATTCACTGTCTGGCAGTGTTGCGAGAAGGTCCTTTAGGGTGAAGGTTGGGTTCTCCTCTGTGTCGTTCTCCCTATCTGTCACTTGACCTGACGAATCTGTAATACCACACAATCATCATCAGGGATGAGGTGGAGCACATGGTCTGAATTATTTCAGGTACAATTTGGAAGGTTCATTTTGTTATAATTAGTATTTAACCCCGATATGGTATATCTGTATAGATTTGAAAAACTTCCACATGAGATATTGTTAACAGTTAAAAATGCATTCCCAACATCGTAAAAATGTATACAAAACATGATGATTGCCTCATATCGTCGAGAGTAGTCCGGATTATGGAGAAAACCGGTTTCCAAAGAGTCTGGATTTGACAGATTCCACTGTTTTAAATCACGAACGGATGACAAGATAACTGAATCTAGAAGCAACTATTCCAAAACGTACATCTATCCGCAGGCTTCTTTTGCGCGGATCCAAGTTTCTTCTGACCTTGGACGACCGTACAGAACTTCTCCACACAGGAAGCTTTGGTATGCCTAGGGATAGCTGACTTGAGCTTGCTCTTGGTAACCTGTGGACGGGAGACCGGACTCTGTCTGGGTGAGGACAACACATACTTCTCGGCCGACAGTTTCAGATCCTTGTTGCTGGGAAAGGAAGATGAGTGAGTGAGTGAAAAATATGTAATAGTTCACAAGTATATCATGCTTTAAGTAAGAACCCCTGAAATGGAACGAGTCTCACAGTGCTACATGCTTAAGTTACCAACCAAGGATTTACTTGTCGAGGATATATAATTGCAACATGCGGCATATCTAGACCCATCTTAACACCCTCACTCACTTGACACTTTTTTCGTTTACTTAGATATAGGCTCGCGGTGGTTGAAGCGCTAAGATAGCTGAGCACTTTGAAATTGGACTGTCCGCTATGCTTGTCCTAAGGGACGACAGCCAGAATGGATGCTGAGGATATCATTTGTCGAGGACTCTTTTTTCACAGGTTGCCGTGATACTGGACTCCTATTTATCGACAGTCTCACTCTCGTGACATTTACATTGCAATGTTAATTTTTCAGTAAAAACGATTTTTTTTCATTCACGAAAAATTCCAAGCAGCTGCTCCTGAAACACTAATTATTTATGATGGGCCTCAAGAAAACATCTGAGCAGGTTCAGGCGTCTCAATGAAACCGGAAGTACCTGTTCTGCTGTAGTATGCCCCTCTTTATCCAGCCAAGCCGCCGCTGCATCTTGCTGAGACAGGATGTGTTACTGGGGATATGTGACATCCTGTCCGCGCTGCGGGCCAATTCCTCCCTCTGGGTCTTCAGGAGGGGGAGTCGACCTCCTGCGCGAGGCAGAGCCTGCATGGGATCCATCTTGCTCATCTCTGGAAACAAGCTGATGTTAATCAGGGGGGCAAACAACGTATGTTCTTCACAGATAAGAAGTAGCCTGTTGCCATTTTAAACGGGACATTTGTCCAACGCTGAGTGACTTTTGTAATCAGAAATAAATGTGTTTAAATTGGGGGAGGAGGTAGCCCAGGGGTTAAAGCGTTGGCTGCTCGAGCCCAAATGCCCGGGTTCCATTCCCTAAATGGATACTTAATAGGAAGTCCAGTCATGTTGTTTGTGCCATGATACAGTTTCAAAAGTATAAAACCAGGAATCGAATATACGATTATGTCACTCTTTGTGTTTCTTTACTGCTGTCCAATTTACATATAATACGAAATTAATAGTTGAGACTAAAGTATCAACCCGTTGTGCACTAAGCAACATCCCAGCCATGTCACGGCTCTGTCTGGACAAAACAACCCAGTGATTGATATCATGAGCAACGATCAAACCATCGGGGTACGACACCACATCAAGCTATATAACGGCGGTCTGTAAATAATCAAGTCTGGACCACACAAGCCAGTGATTTATACAATGAGAATCTATCTACGCAATAGGGAACCGATGACATGTGTCAGCTAAGTCAGCGAGCCTGACCACCCGATCCCATTAGTCGCCTTTTATGGCATGCATGGGTTGCTGAAGACCAATTCTAACCTGGATCTTCATGGATTAAGTTGCCTTAGATAGGTTGCTGCAAACGCGGGGAATCGTATATGCAGTGGCACGTAACCGATGGGGCAGTAACAGCTACACCAGAGCTCATTTCAGACAAAGATAACAAAGATAAATACAGTAGAACATTCCTAAGCTAACGTAATTCTTATACCTTTTTCCAAAGTCGGTCCTCTGAGACTGAGGGACAGCAGACTCTTCTGTGTGCGAGGGTAGTTTTTGGACGGGATGGACGCTACCCTGCTTCGTGCCCTGGCCTGCTCGATGATAGGTTCCGGGCGTCTGTATTCCATCTCTGGACTACTAGGTTCCTTGGTGGGAGACGGACTCATGTCGTCCATGTCCAAAAAGGTTACGGGTGTGGGGATGATGAAACTCTCCCTTAAACGGGGCTCTAGTCCATGGGATCCACTGGACCGAGAGGTCAAGCTGCTCTTGCTGGAATCGGAACATGCTTCCGTACTGTCCGGAAATTGGGTCTCATCTGCTGACGTCGAGTCGGACTGGTCAACAACAGGATCAACCCGAATCTGGACTTTTGTGTCCAATACTTCCTGAGGGTGGGTGTCATCTGTGGATTTCTGTGCAGCTTTTCTCTCCCGGAACCTAGCCCCATCCCTTCTGTAGTGCTTTCCTTTCTTCAACTCTCTGCCATTCGTCTCTTCCTCTGGAACCGCCGTGCTCTCGTTTGAGGTGCTAGTGGACGTCTTGCTATCGTAGGTGTGGACTTTCACAGCAACTCTTTTCCGTTTCTTTGGTTTCCGCCTCTTCCATCTGTTGTAACGCTTGTCCACGATAGGTGCATAGCAGAAGTATTTACCCAAAGGCTTCGGGAGTTCTGAAGCATAGACATGACAGCTTTGGAATACATTTTTACATCAATATTGACAACCTGGGTCTAGATTTTCGAAGCTCTCTTAGCGCTGAGATAGTCGTAAGTGCCATACATTAACATTAACTTACGACTATCTTAGCGCTAAGAGAGCTTCGAAAATCTATGCCCAGGACTGGGAAATTCAACTAATGTATCAGGATTTCATAGGAACACCGACACTTTGCTCGTTTCGAACAGCTGAGTATGCTGTATATTTCGGATGTTTCTTCAGAACTACTTTTCGTCTTCTATTTACAGGTGATGTATGAGCAGACTTTGTATGTCATGGATGAAGCCACTGTATGAATGTATTATCATTGGTAGGTATGACAATTACAATCTTGTTTCAACAGCTACAGTAAACATACGGTTATATCGAACTCAAATGGACCACTAAAGTACTGTCGGAAATAGAAAAAAATTGTTTTTTCGCATTGATATCTACAATTTATGTAGTTAATATGTGTAAGTGTGAAATGTCTGTTAAACTAAGTTCGGCCTAACTACAGTCTCAGTGGTAGGGAGGTAGGAAACGTAGAAAAAGGACTTTACTGAGGAGAGATTAGTGCATAAATGAGAGATGCGGTGATTTCCTAAGTCCAAGGCGACTTATTTGGAACAGGCCATGGCTTTATGCAAATTAGTGTGCAATGATATTATATTACAAAGGACAATTTTTAAATGTCTACTTTGAAACTAAACTTAGCTTCATTATAAACGATAGCTGACGTAAAAAATAATAACTTTAAAACTGAAACTATGAAGGATTTAGCTGCCATGGAGTCTCACTATCACTGTAAAAAAAACAGGTAGGAGGGGTCGTCTCAAAAGCAAAACCATGACAGGTGTCGCAGACGGTGGTTGGGGTCGGGCTGGGGATAGAGATATAAGCTGAGATACGATAATCCTTTAGGGGAATTAAATTGGGAAGCAAACAGCATGTCATAACAATTTACAAATAATATCCAGTCCTGTCGATCTTCGGGTGGTCATGCCACCTTTATATTTTGAGACATTTAATACGATGACTGATTTAAGCTTTCCCAAGGGTATCATACCCTTTTACGTATCTCAACATAAACGTTATGATCAATAGATGAGATATATTCAACACACATGAAAAAGCATTAAATATCTTTGAGATGACCCCTTGTGCATGTAGGCAGTACGTGCATTTCATGCCAGTTGAGTCGACGGTCCGTCGTCATACCTGACTGAGCGACCTAATTGCCATCTATAGTCTGATCTATTGTTTTGATCAGCTATTCGTAAGTTTTGCCCGATTTTACGAGTAAACATGCTTTTCTGGATATACTATTACCCATTCCACTGAATACCCAGTTAGGCCGATGTGGGTTATTTTGCTATATCCTATTGTAAATTTTTCAATTTCAGGGATACAGAGTAACAGCCTAAAAACAATTTTTTTTCGATTTCCGACAGTACTTTAGTTTTATTTTGTTTTGTGACCGCAAAATATACAGCAATTGGTCCGAAAAACAAACAATTTCGTCTGTCATTTTACTATAATTTTACTATGATCGTAATAAACGCCAGTTACTTTGTCTTTCAGCGAGAATAGTTTCAAGCAGCTTTTAGCAGTATTCAAACAATATCACGGCAGCCGACACCAGAAATGGACTTAACATCATGCCCGCGAACCCGCGTCTTCGGCGTGACGAGCGAACACTCTAACTCCCTGTCACACACACGCACACGAACACACACGCACATATACATACCGGGATATGGCTGTTCAGTATATCTGCTGTCCATTTCTTGGCGCATTTTCAGGAGAAACTGGGAATGAGGATTTTGCAACATCTTATCATGGTCCTCGTCTTCCTCCTCCCCATCATCGTCTTCCTCCTCTTCCTCTTCATTGTACAGCTCAGGCTGTAGCTCTTGATGAAGATCTGATAATCCCAACATCAGGTTGTTATCCAGATACCTCGCACCTGCTCCAGGCGGTTCATCATCAAATGTGTTCTTCATCCCGCTGACACTATGCTGCCAATGGTGATGAGGAAGAAAACCTTCTTCCTCGAAATTTAATTGAGAGTTAATGGGACTTGCGTAAAGATTCCTTTGTCCTTGTGGTGACTTCTTTCGTCTCCCCTGTAGAGTCGGGCATCTTTCTACTGCAGACGTGTTACAGTCGATCTGGCTAAATGTCCCTCGTTTCAGTGGTAGACCATTCCAGTTACTTCCAGATGGTTCAAAGCATTCGGCAACAGAAGCATCATAGAAGTCGCACGGGGATGACTTTTGATACCCCTCACTGACAACAGAGGATCTACTAAAGCACCAAGAAGGCGTTCTGCTGGCCAGACTGAAGCATCTCTGATCCTGGTCGGGGTAATCCTCCTCCTGGCCAAGCATCTCCTCCCAACACAAGCTATGGTTCCAGTGACTCTCCTGCGTAGGTTTTAAGGAATAATCCACACGAACTGCGTGCATCTCATCAGATTCCTCTTGATAATTCCCCTCATCAGTATTAGCCTCCTCATGCAGCTCCAGATAGACATCCTCTGGGGTTTCACAATGTATCCTCATTGTGGTCTCAAAGTCTGATGATCTTCCTCTGGATAGTCCTTCTCTAGAGTACACAGACAGCCTGGAGGTCTTGTCGCATTGGGATGCCATAGATGTGGTTTCACGGACCCCATTCTCAGACACGCGGCTGTTCTGTCTTGACATCAAGTCGTCCTTGACATCAGCACTGTGACACCACACGTCACCGTACGTCATGACGTTCGCTCCAAGGTGTGTATCTGTTAACATGTAGGAAGTGTTACTGTCTGACTATTACCAATAATCAAAATATTTACACAAGCACACTCCTTTTTATTAAAAAAATGGAAAATGGAAAAAAATACTTTTCTCGACTTTAATGTCTCCAATATAGAATTAAAATTTAAGTGATTAGGCAATCATTGTCTGACACGACGTTTCGGAGTACATGTATATTCTTACTCCTTCATCAGGTGAATGGAGTAAGCATATACTCCGAAACGTTGTGTCCATCACAATAAAAAAGTTGACATCCATTAAATTATTGCCTTTATGTGTATCGCTTCTAAATGCCATTCAAAGACTCTATAGGAGTATGCTTGTTTAAATATTTTGAATAATGATAATAGTTGACATCCATACAAATTCTTGCCTTTAAGCATTCACCTTTCGAAAAAAATAATTTTCACGACTCTAATGTAATGATAATTTAAGTGATTAGGCAATCATTTTCTGTCCGATCATTATCATTATTCAATATATTTACGCAGTCATAAGCCTTTTTCATGAAAAAACATCCGGAAAGCCTTGGGGGGAGATAACTTGCTGTCCCCATTATGTAAATATACTTCAAATGATTGGGGATTTATTATTTAGTGAAGAGAAATTGACCAAATATAATTGGGTAGTCATATGGGGTTATGTGAATTACTACAATTCCTTGATTTCCCTTACCCGATTTATATGGCCTAAAAGGGGTTGGTTGATCCTTCCCATCCATCATAGATTGGCACGACCCCTTTCCGCAGAAACCCTCCAGGTCTTCCCTGGTCAGCTGACCGTTGATGATTGAGATGCACCTGCTGTTGTCGCCTCTCCATGGCCCGGACACGGTGTCGGGTGTCTGTGTCATGGGGCGGGTGTCTGGTGTCTTTACCTGGACATCCGGCTCGGGCTCCAGATACTGATTGCTCCAATACCGTGGGAACAACGCCAAGGAAAGGTCGCCTGGTGAACGACAAGACAACGTCAAGGTCTCTATCCATTGTAGGATACAAATTAACTCAAATTCAATACACTCGATACAATCACAGCAGGATATATTTTGCGCTCGTCATGAACTACGATTACATTAAACACAACTGAAATTAATTATATAGTAATTGACGAAATAGCACCTTGCCTCCGAACATCAGTTATTATCAATGAAGAGTTAAAAAAGAGGGGATTTAATGTGCATCCTTGCATAAGACCACGAAAAGAGATTATATGGGTTGAAATATTGAGCTTCGATAATTTCTGCTGCTAAAGTTCAATGAGATAATTGCTAACATTTGGCCGTGAACTGTATTCGAATGTAGGACAGACCTTCCAAAAATCCCAAATATACAGGTTCGTTCCACAAACATACAGTAACACGTTCGTGAACATTTATCTGAAAATAAAACTTTCTAAACGAGGTAGCCAGGTCTCGATATTTATTTGCAGCTCTTGTGGACTGTAGAGAGTAGTTACAATGTCTGGTCCTTCATCCTAGATGTTACCTTTGGAGTATCGGTTATCACTGGGTAGCTTCCTTGTCTTTCGGAGTCGGGATGAGATAAGTATCGACTTCAGCCACTGATGGTTGTCGTGGACCGACATCCGGTGCTCGCATCGGAAACAGTCGAAAGATGTGTGCACTACTCGCCCTGGCTTGTAATCCTGAATAACAGATCCAACGGATCACTTGTACTTTCAGGTGTTCCCTTATTCGTGTCCATAAGTATATAATGCACCTGGATCCCGATCCACAAATCATTCGCAAAATTACGACTTGTCGTAACTCTATAGTTTACCATAGGCTTACGAATTTCGCTTAGTGGGTCGGGACCCAGGTCTATTATATAACGTTCATCGTGACAAGAACGTGCGTTGTTCCCCCAACTCCGTATTGCCCCATCCTTGAAATATCGAATTGTCGTCCCTTATAGTTTTCCATAAACCAGTCACATATTCGGAAAGTTAACAATCCCTACCTTGCCACTTGTACAGGGAGGTTCGGTAGGGAAGGGCAAGCCCAAACCTCCCACATTCAAGGGATTGACTGGCAGGGGTGTAAGGCTGTAGCGCCGGGATGATTTCCCGATGCGACTCTGCTGCACGGCGGACCTAGTCTTTGAGGGCAGGTGCAATTCAGGAAGGCGGACCTGCGACGGAAAGTGTCATAAAGGCGGATGAAGTACACAACTAAAACTCTGAAACTGTCTAGATGGTTTGTTTGTTTGCTTGTTGTTTAACGTCAGCAATATTCCAGCTATATGGGGGCGGTCTGTAAATAATCGAGCATGGACCAGACAATCCATTTGTCAACATAATGAGCATCGATCTACATTTGGATACGATGACACGTGTCAACCAACTCAGCGAGCCTGACCACCCGATCCCGTTAGTCGCCTCTTTCGACAGGAATGGATTACTAAAGACCAATTCTAACCCGGATCTTCACAGGTTCTAGACGGCATAGTGACAGTATGCCGTGAAGCAAGAAAACCAATGATGACGATTGCAGGACATACCAGGTTCGAACCTGAAAGTCCGGTTTTTAACGAATGCTATCAGACAGCTGTTTTAACCAAAGATCACGCAATGAGAAGTGTTTTACTCACGTTATGACAGTCGGTGACGTTGCTGTCGCTGGTGGCGGGGTTCCTGCCGGTGACGCTGAGGGAGTGCATTGGGTCATCTCCCTCAAATTCACTTTCAGTAACTGACCCCCAGTCACAGGACTCCGAATTGTCACGGGATATAATCATCGGGACCTAAAGTTTGTTATCATTCCATCTTTAATAGTGTAACCAGTAATGCGTGTATTGTAGGAGAAGAGAGCACAGGGTCTGTGAGACATTGCCACGTTATCGAAACAGAAACATCGACAGAATACAACGTTCTCTTCACATTTTTCAAAATTCTAAAGATGTATTTAAAAAGAGTTGAAATATTTCGAGAGGCACAGTTTACAGCCTCTATTGAAACATATGTGGGGAAGTGGTAAGTGTGCCCCTCAGATAGAAATAAAAAGTTTTGTTATAATTTATTGTTATTGTGAAAATAACTAATAATACGTATTGACTCATGAATAAATGACATGCTGGATGACATTTTCCTTTACCACTTCCGGCAAGATACTTATTTGACAAACGATATTCGGCGCCTTATTACGTGAGCAATTCACGCTTATGTTTAACGAACAAGTCTTCTCAAAGATGCATCGATTAGAAACGATGTTTTATTCGAAATATGCTCTGCACCACTAATAATGTCTACCCCCACCTTTGACTGACCACGTCTCATGACTTATCAACCAAAGTAAAGGGAGTAAAGGATTTTGTTGTTTTATATTCCCGCAAAACCGATTTCAGGATCACTAGATGGAGTAATGTCCCTTATAATATGCAGTATCCGCCCTGGAATTCACTCTATACCAATCGCTGGAAAAAAATGCTTATTGAAGTGAAATGTATCTATTATAATAGACTTTTACTTACCTCCTCCAGCCGTACTGTTGGCAAGGGGGCCCGGGGAGTACTTTGCTGACGGAGACACTGAGGGCGCGAGCGCAACTTCCCCTGGAGGACGCTGGTGCCTTGGAGGTTGGTGGATGGGCTCAAGGGGGTTTCCCGACCCTCGGGGTAACACAGACTCGGCTTTCGAATCGTGAATCCCTTCCGAAAAAGTTTAGATGGATGTGAATATGTATACCTCCACACATGTATATATTGTATATGCTTAATTTCTAGTTACATGGTATTAAATGGTAACAGTAGAAAACGTTGTCGTCATCGTGGTGTACGTAGTAGTTGCTACCGGGTATTGAATAGTAGCAGTAGAAATCATAATAGTAGCTAATAGTAGCATTGATATACGTACAAAAGATGTAAGGATACACAAAAATATGAAACTCTCACTAGAATCTAAACAATATGAACAAGTTAGTAAGTGAGTGAGTAAGTATGGTTTTACGCCGCTTTTAGCAATATTCCAGCAATATCACGGCGGGGGACACCAGAAATGGGCTTCACACATTGTACCCATGTGGGGATATGAACAAGTAATACAAGGAAAATCTTATGGATAACAACTTCTTTATATATTTTTCACAACGTTTCTGTGCCTTTGAAGAATTTCAATATGAACAAGTGAGTGTGTGTACAGCATAGAGTATCAATTATATTTAGCTGAGCATATATAGAAATAATGGCCATGACCTTTTCGGGGGATATATTTGCATTATTTGGTCGCCTTTATTTTTTAGAGATAAAGTTTTTCTAATGAATGGATTATTGCCAGCTCTCGGATCACATTGAAAGACCCAGGCTCCATTACTTTCACTAGCCTAAAACGAGACTTTTCTGGGTTGTGATTCAGTATATTCGGTTAAGTTCACATTTGGGGTTTAAACATGTTTACGGTTTTGTTTAACAGCTGAACGTGTTTAGATATATATCTATATGTGGGAAAGACCAATCAAGAATCTAAATTGAGTTTTGGTTATAACACCCTACAAACAGTATTCTAACTACAGCTTTTGAGAAATAGGTCCAGATAGTGTTTTAGCTAATTTTACAATGAGAATTAGCATGTTTCTGTCAGACCATTCACATCTCTCTGTCGTTATTTCACGTATCCGTTATGGTTCCAAAACATATAGTGGCAGGAGCTATGTCATGTATATTTAGAACAATTGGAGTAATGTGAATCAGTATGATTTTACGCCGCCTTTAGCAATATTCCAGCAATATCTAGGCAGTGACCTTCACTCAGTGTTGGAGATAGATCCAGGACATTCTAGATAACGAATGAACCCATCAATCACCAAGAATTAGTCGAAATACCGTTTTCGATACATTTCAGTTTCGGATTCAAAGCAAAGACACAGTGAAATTTTACTGTATGTGTTGAAACTTATTTCCAGCCCAGTTCGCGTAATTGAATTTTTTTTAAATAACTACGGTAAATCATTTTTTTCTTTCTCTGCGTCACTTCATACCTTGGATACTCTGGTCCTGGCGTACACTGGGGTCCGGGAAGTCCCCACGCTCCGGGGGGGCGGGGCCTCCTCAATCACTGAGACAGGAGTGGGGCATGCTGCCCTCATGTTCTCGGTGAATGACTAGCGGTCATGGGGGAAACATTGTCAACTACCTGAAGTTTTCCGCTCAGGCAAACTCACAAACTCCTCCACCCATGTAGGGTAAAGGTATTCGGAGCTGATTGTGACGTCACTCGAGACTGTGACGTGTTTCCCATGTGCGATGACGTCAGAATTCATCGTGGACACTACTGAAGTCAGTTCATTTCTTCTTCGTGAAATTTCTTAGCACGAAGCAGTGTCTTTTTCCAATAAATTATGATAATATATTTTGGTATTGGTGTTTTCATATTGTTTTTAAAGGTCAAAGGTCAGTCGTATTACGCTTTGTGAATAAAATATAAAGTATTTGTTCACGTACAAAAGCCGTATTGGCCCGGTAAAATCCGTATTGGGCCACGAAAATCCCGTATTCGACCGCTTTAAAGTCTCGTATTGAGCCGCTAAGCACATATTGAATCTCCGATGGTTCTCATATATAATGCAGGTATATTTGAGTTTAATTTATTACGTATAACTATTGATAAAACCTACTCTCATTTTTCAATCCGAGGTGTGTCTTTCCCCACAACTGAGACAATAATCTTCTTTTTAAAGAATCAAAACTACTTACTAATCTTCTTTTTGATATAATATACAGTCCGTTTGGCTCAAAAGCGGACCGATGAATTGCAATCTAACTCGAAACCTAATAAACATAAAATACTCAATGAAACGCTGATCATAATCAAAACATCATACCCACTCTGTGAGGTTTTTGCAGAATTTTTGTCCTAAAAATAAAAAAGTTGTTTAACAATCTATCATTAAAATATTGACACAGTTCACTATTTGTTACGAGGGAGGAGTGCAGAGAAAGGGACAGCCAGGTGTTCGAGAACGGATGGAGACGGCACAGCACAGGTTAATGAATAAATGACTTTGTCTGTGAGCGTGCTTCTCGAACACCTGGCTGTCCCTTTCTCTGCACTCCTCCCTCGTAACAAACGCTGAACTGTGTCAATATTTTAATGCTATTTTGTTAAACAACTTTTTTATTTTTAGGACAAAAATTCTGCAAAAACCTCACAGAGTGGGTATGATGTTTTGATTATGATCAGTGTTTCATTGAGTATGTTATGTTTATTAGGTTTCGAGTTAGATTGCAATTCATCGGTCCGCTTTTGAGCCAAACGGACTGTAGATATTGCGTACATCTCGATAATATGTGACCATTCTTATCGTTTCAGCTGACAGGTAAAAAATTGTGAAAGATTAAAAAAAATGTATAGCTTTCAGCACCATATCTGTTTCCTGTATTGTGTTACTGGGTAGCTTGCGCTGGTATACCTCAATCCATATTATCGCCCTATTTATATCGATAATATTTCACATTGCTATTTGGGTTAGGTATTTATTTGGTAAATATATCAAAATTTCGCTGTTATTCTATCTATTTTCTGTGGACGTGTCTTACTAGATATATTTCGGTTAAATATGATTTTTATATTGCATTGAAACAGGCTTAATTTATCACATACATCTGCAAATATATTTGTTTGAGTTGTGGTCTCGCCGTTTAAGATTTAGTCACAAATTGGTTGCAAGGTGTGAACGCCTGATCTTAGTCTAAGGATTTCAAATACCATACACCTAGTTGTGTTTGCGTTGTAAGGCAGAACTTGTCCCATTTATTACAAATTGTGCCTGTGTGCTATATTAGTAGAAGTGCTATAAAATCGGTAAGAAATTCAATTCAAGGGAGGCTACTCTCAGATAGCGTTGCTTTTCTTTCCCGGAAATCCAACAAGTCGAAGCAGAGCATCATGTTGCTAATGAAAACAATGATTAGCGTGAAGCTGACATAACCACGTATCAGAAGATTTTTGTGAGTCAGACTGATTGTTAATTGTCTCTGATTGTCTAGCTTGACAATTTGGTTGTCTTTATCCTGAAATTTTATGATGCGAATGAAAACATAACCTGTGTCACTGCGCTTTTCAAGGGAGATAATGGTATATGATTAAAATTGACATTATTTTGTTTTCATACCAAACTTCGTCAAACATTCTCATGCAAAAGTAACACCAAATAGCATGCATTCATATCTACAAGCATGGGAAACTGTCATTAATTTCGGCAAAATAGCATAGATGGATCAATAACAAATATTTTTGTACAATATATGTAGATCAACTGCTACGAATAATTTTTTGTGGGGTGGGGCAGAGACCATACACCGGTATATGGTCTCTGGGTGGGTTTTTGGCCCATCCAGGATTCATGCCCACACTGTCAGGGTGAAACCCTAATTGCAAGTGAACAAAGTCAGCTACCTAACTCACTACTTCTTAACAAAATGGAAGTCTGAGTGATATGCTGACAGCTTTTAGCCTGGGTCACATACTTTGTGTACCTATATGTGACAGCCAGAAGCTATTAATACACCATGACTACACTTTCTTAATGACATTGAGATAACATCATGATGAAGTACCAATGACTAGGTTTGGATATTGCCCTGATTCTCATATTGCGATATATTGCAATAATTTAAGAGATATTGCAATACATATTATACAATTATAGACTGGTGATGAGGTCAATACCTGTTTTTATAGCTAAAACACGTGGAATTATCATGAAACGGCCCCGCTATTATCAGAAATTTGTGGGCCCGCTGCAAATGATATTGGACCGCTCAACCTTAACGATCAGTTCTGTTTTCAAGTGACGTCATAGTGGGTGCGTGATGAAGGAGCAAGCATACACCCCGAAAAGGTTGTGTAATTCACAACAAGAAGTTGACATCCAAAAATCTTGCTTTTCTTATAGGATTGGTCCATTTGAGGCCACTGAATTCCTCCAAAACGTCACATATGAAACCATTCAAACCCACAAAACTTAAAAATCATTTGGTAGACTACTTGGCACTTTTGGTGCCACTTATAAAGATGCTTCCACTTGTAAAATGCTACATGAAACCAACATAAATGTAAGTGTAGAACACGTTTAGAACACATTTCGTTGTTATGGAAATCAATGGCACATAATTCAAAGGGAGCTAACTCTGTATGACCCAATATATTGCAGAATCTGAACCATATCGCGGTAATCATATCGTGAGATACTGTACTGGTATATAGCAGTTTACCGGTAATATTGCACAGCCCTACCAATGCACAAGTTGAAGCATTAAGATGTGAGTGCATCTAGAGAAACTGACTGGGATGAAAGTGATGCTTACAAACAAATGAACCCTTTATCCATTTAAGAAATAGTTTCCTCTACCCCCATGTTTAGTGTAATAAAGTACAGTTTGGCCCAGAACAATTATAGTTTAATTATTGACTTTTTAGAGGAAACTGAATTGTCAAAGTTTTTAATAAGTATGTTTTGTAAATGGATAAATAGGACAATCACCAACGGCTGAAAGTGATGATGTAAATTCAGCTTGGGTCCATGCAGGAGGCGAAAGTACCTTAAGACACTATTGTCCTTAGTATGGTGATCTGCCTTTAGTTGGTGGTGATCTATAGCCTGTTATATATTGTATTGTCTTCAATAAAAAAAATAGTTTTCGATTTATATGTTTTACATCTATATCTGTGATGTTTTAGATTTTTTGACAGTCCTTCGTTGACAGGTTTATTCTAAGTTTATGTATCATGAATGTTACAATTGTTTTACTAGTCATGTTATAGCTGAAATACTGATGATGTGACCGAGAGTCTTAACTCTCTCACTCACTCACAATATGTGTGCTATCTTGTTGCAGCTTGGTAAATATCATGGAGCAGTACACGATCCTAGGACGCATTGGAGAGGGAGCACATGGCATTGTACTGAAGGCAAAACACACAGAGGTTGGTGTGCATTGTGACTTACTAGGATAGCCTGATCAAACATGGATTAAACTGCGACTAATCTTTACTATTCCATGACTATTTTTCTTGTCATATGACTTGACATGTCAGCACTTTGCATACACTTGGTGTGCGTGAGCAAAGCAATCCAAACAGCATATCTGATTTCTGTATTATGAAAACGATATTGATTGGCCTGTTCCCAATGTAAATGATAAAGGTCGTGAAGTTGTATTGTTGTGTATATAGTCTGTTGTTTCTGAGTGCCATTATATCCCAACTCATGGAATGTTTACTGCACTCAGTAGTTTGATTAGCTGGGGGCAGTGGGGAAGCCCAGTGGTTAAAGCGTTTGCATGTCATGCGAAAGCCCGGGTTTGATTCCCCACATGGGTACAATGTGTGAAGCCCATTTCTTGTCTCTCATGCCATGATATTGCTGGAATATTGCTAAAAGCGGCGTAAAACTAAACTCACTAACTCAGTAGTCACTTGATAATGTTACCACACATAGCCCTGAAACATTATCACAAACAATAAACAAGATGACCATAAAAGGTTATTGTCTTGATAGACGTTGTGATCTGTGATCTTGCTTTGACAGAGTGGTGAGGTGGTTGCCTTGAAGAAAGTCCCTCTGCGGAATCTTGATGATGGAATTCCAAACACAGCACTGAGGTAAGTTTTCTGTTTCATATAATTTTGTCTTTATCACACACAGATATAGACAGCATGTCTCAGCTTTAATTTCATGTGAGCATTCAAGACTCATCACCTGCAACACAAGCAATGTAATTGTCAGGGAAGTCAGCCCAGTGTCCTCTTTCAGTCCCTATTTCAAAACTAAAGATATTCAGGTGAGCTACAAATACTCACTGCTAGTATATTTTCAAATAAACAGCCAGAAAGTAGTGACTTCAGTTTTCAGGATTTTTGACTGCATAAATATGTTTTGAGTTGTCCAACTATAAGTAAAGTTTGAAAGGTATCAAACATATATAAGATTTAAGACAATTACTAGGTGATTCTTTCTGTCAGAGACACCTTATTTTATTCAGACAATGTATAAATACCTGTAAGACAAATTTTCTCATCTGAACTGAATTTTTTTTGTTGGAGATTATTCGGATGTTTATTTTTATTGCTTCATGGTTTCAGAGAAATCAAGGCTCTACAAGAGATAGAAGATAATCCATATGTAAGTGATGTCTTGTTCAGTCAATATTCTGGGCAGCAGTTACGCCATCTCTGTAACCGGGCTCCTAGCTATATATGCTCTGCATCTGTGTGATAAAAACAATTATCTTACCCTCATGTGAAATACTGTAATTTCATTGGTCAATGATGCTTTAACAAGTTTTGGTGTCACCCCTCCAAGGAGGGTTACAACTGGAAAAAATATTACCCGCTGCCACGGTAACCGCCAAACTCTCCACCGAGAAGCTGGATAGCTAACAATTGTATGGCGTCATAATATGACACATGCGTGGAGTTCGAAAACCGAAAACTGTTTTTGAGTTCACTGTGTACACATGTATTATACCGACTTTCATTGCTCTATTTAAACTATTTTATACTTTGAATCGTTTGCACACTCAACTTAAACATAATTAACCCTTTTTGTAGCAGTTTTAAGCTTGTCGAATATGTTTCACTGATGTTTAAAATTCAGTCGAGAGGCAGACACCATTTTGTTTACATGTCATACAGTCAGAGTGAGTGAGTGAGTTTAGTTTTACGCCGCACTCAGCAATATCCCAGCTATATGGCGGCGGTCCATACAGTCAGAAGTGAGCGTAGCGATCTTCAAAATAAAATAAAATAATGTTTTTTACATTTAACATGGCGGTAAGATAAATATGTTGTAAAGTTCTCCCTCGGGTAATACGGTCTGATGTACGCCTCTTTGTAGCAGTGTTATCCCTCGGCTACCGGCTTGGGTGACACTGCTACAAAGAAGCATACATCAGTCCGTATTACCCTCGAGAGAAGCATACAACTTATAATATATTGTGTATCTATTTGGGAATACCCATTTAACGCCCAAGCAGAAATGAGCTGCCAGGTTGCCAGATCTATGGATGATGAAGTAGACAGTGATGATGTAGTTGATGAAGTAGACAATGTTGGAAATAATGATGTAGATGATTGTAGGGACAGTGATGTAGAAGATTGTATGAACAATTTGATGATGATGATGATGATGATGATGATATACTTCTTCCTCATCCCTCCAGACGGTGAAGCTGCGGGAGGTGTTTCCCCATGGGACGGTAATCGTGTTGGTGTTTGAGTACATGCTGTCCGATCTGTCCGAGGTGGTGCGGAACTCGGAAAAACCTCTCTCAGAAGCCCAGGTGAAGTCCTTCATGCTGATGTTGCTGAAAGGGGTGGCCTTCTGCCACGAAAACAACATCATGCATCGGGTAGGTTTATCAGCATCTGCAATAGGCTGTCATCTAATGGCTTGATGTTCATGCTGTTGAAGATGATGTAGGCCAGGGGTGGAAATAACTTTAAAATTGATAGTGTACTCCGGTACAGTGGCACATGTAAAGTCACTTGCCCTGACAATTTTTCCACTATACCGACCGTTTTCTTGCTGATTTTTTAAATAAACAACATAATTAACATTGGAAAGTCAACTGGACACCGGTACAGTGTGAAATACAAATTTGCTTGCCCGACAGACGAAAACACTAGACTCGGACGTCGGGCAATGGGTTATTTCCACCCCTGTAGGCCAAAGAATGTTCTCCAAAAAATTGTGTTCCACATATTGCTGAAGTTGGCATCCATAAATTTCACCCTAACGTGTATCACTTCAAAATGCCACTCAAAGACTGGTTGTTTTAGAACACCTCGAATATTTCTGCCTGAGGGAAGGCTAATCTTTATTTATGAAAATAGCATCAATACTTTTTTGGACATATTGACACAAAATACCTCAGTTGTTTGAAATACAGTATTGCCAAGAGCGGTATCTGGTTGTCCTTAGTTTGAATTTTGTCTTATTTTATTCCCACTAATTAGACTGCTACTACCAGGGAGTCGGATGACATCCACACTTCCATGTTGCTCACTGCTAATGTTGTGTGTCGTAAGAGGCGACTAACGGGATCGGGTGGTCAGGCTCCCTGGCTTGGTTGACACATGTCATCGGTTCCCACATGCGCACATCGATGCTCTTGCTGTTAATCACTGGATTGTCTGGTCCAGACTGGATTATTTACAGACTGCCGCCATGTAGCTGGAATAATGCTGAGTGCAGCGTAAAACTAAACTCACTCACTCCCAGATAATCCAGTGAGTGAGTGAGTGAGTTTAGTTTTACGCCATACTCAGCAATATTCCAGCTATATAGCAGCGGTCTGTAAAAAATGGAGTCTGGACCAGACAATCCAGTGATCAACAGCATGAGCATCGATCTGCGCAATTGGGAAGATAATCCAGTGATCAACAGCACGAGCATCTATCTATATAATTGGAATATGATGACAACTGTCAGTGAGTCTGACCACCCTATCCCAGTCTCTGATCAGACAATCCTGAGATTCACATCATTAGCCTCTATTCATGCCATTAGCCATAATGGCACACCATCAAACAAGTCACATAGATTAACCACTCTATCCAGTTCTAACCCACAATACAGACAGGAAACCTTTTCACAATGTCATTTCCTCATTCATAAACTAATAAAACTTTTGCCACAATGTCGTTCATTAGGCTCAGGGTTGATGTTTTGAACTGAACATGCCATTAGAGGAGATCGGATGAGTGGATGGGCACACATGGGTGACACACAGACACATAGCATAGTTATCTCCCTTTGAACGTGTTGTGTTTGTCATGATCATTTTAGCGTGAAGCACATTTGTGGTATAGAAATTTCATTTTTTTCAAAACTGAAAGAATATATGGGTATACATAAATATATTATCTCAGATATTAAATTATTGTTCCATATGCATCAACAATGTTGGCTATACACTCATTAGACTACCTGTGTTTCTGCACAGAATGAGTCATGCAATATTCAGACACTCTTTGACAATTCAGTAACTTATATAAATAAAACCAGTGTTTCTTAGCTGTGTAATATTGCTAAAAGCAGCATTTAAGACAACTCACTCACTCACTTAGTCACTCACTCACTCACTCAAAAGAATGGGATGAATAACAATCACTCACTCAAAGAATGGGATGAATATCAATATGTTTTTATCTATTTACACTTGATTGTTGGGGAGGATCAAATTGGAAATAGTTCTTTGAAACAAAGAAAATAACCAAAGTGGATTTCACTTTCACTATTACTTCATTAGGATGTAAATAACACATATCATGGATACTCCTGGGCATCTTGGAAATAAATAATATTACACTATGGAATATTACTAAACTATCTACTTATACTTCATGTACAAATGTGAACTACAGAAAAGGGAATTGATGAAATGAAAGTGAGGGTGAAATAACAGTAAATTGTGTGAAATTTGATTCTGGCACGAATATTGATATCAGGTGTGTGTGTTGGGCGACACATGTGGGTTCAGTAATATGTAAATTTAAGTGCTGAAAAGGCAAAACACGACAAAACCAAATGGCGGCCACAATGGCGTCCATTTTGTTGTTTTTTTCAAAACAAAATTATGTCAAATAATTTCTACATACTTAAGCAGTACACAGAAGTCAAAATGAAAGTGATCAGATTGATAGTAGTAAAACTATTAATGATAAACTTTGAGGTGTTGTCTGGCAGCAAACCAAATGTGACAAAAATGCTCGCAGACCCCCACCACATATAATGGCCTGTAAAAAAAAACCCTGATACCACAATCTGAGAGTGTTACAGGCCTTTTCATGAGCCCAAGACATCATACTAACTGAAAATACCCCCGGTAGTGTCAAACAAAATCAGTACTGGGGAGGCTACGATTTGAAATTTTTCAGCTGCCTCCTCCTGGACTATAATGACTAACTGGCATATGGTTGCAGTCTGTTAATCAGAGATCACACAGTCTGACTGAGATAAATGCAAAGTGTGAGATAGGATAAGTTTAAATATTTGAAAAATGTGTGATACATTGTATATATATATATACTTATCCTATATGACATAGTAAACTCCCACCCTACCTGTCCCTCAATGTAGATTAACTACTTCCTTGAAGATAACCTTGACTCTTGGAAAGTGAATGACTTATCGGAGAGGTCACATCACCAGACAGGGCAGTCTGCGTGGGAAGTTAAGGGAGAGATAAGGTGGTGTAACTGCTGGGTGTGTTTGGGTAAGGTGTTCTGAAACTGGAAACATTCCGACGGTTCCAAGAATGTTTCCATTCAGGATAAATAGGGAAGGGAAAAACACAATGTTTGAGATTGAGGATATGTATATAGACATGCAATTTGCAATAAAAATTTCAACTTTATTTTCAATTTCGAAATATTCATGTCCCTCCCTTTATGGTATCCACAATTTGCCATTTTGTCTGTTCAGTGAGCTTCTGTCTTTCAGACATTTTTGGTCATAGTGAGTTCTCCAGACACTTTGGCTTCTATGTGCATACACACCAATGAGACCCGGATTAGAATTGGTTTTCATCAACCCATGCTTGCCGAAAGAGGTAACCAACAGGATCGGGTGGCCAGACTTGCTGATTTGGTTGTCATTGTGTCCCAGTTGCGTAGATCGATGCTCATGCTGTTGATCATTGGATTGTCTGGTCCATTATTTACAGACTGGTGCCAAATAGCTGGAATGTTGCTGAGTGTGACGTAAAACTAAACTCTCTCGCTCACTCACTCACTCACTCACTCACTCACTCACTCACTCACTCACTCACTCACTCACTCACTCACTCACTCACTCACTCACTCACTCACTCGCTCGCAAGCACTCACTCACTCACTCACTCAGTTCCCTTGCTGGGGTCAAGTATGACTGAAACTGTGCACAACAGTCTAGAAATATTGCTGAAGGACTTCTAATAGTGTGATAGTATCTCTCGTTCCTCAATTACTCCCCACTGATTTTCTGTACCTGTCAGACATGTTGACTCTAGTCGTGTCCTCAGTAAACATTATCATGTGTGCAGGAGAAAGTGTAGAAGGCATGACCGCTGGTTTGTTAAAGCACTACTTAAGGCAACTAACAGGACTGGGTGGCTAGACTTGCTGATTTGGTTGTCATTGTATTCCAGTTGCGTAGATCTATGCTCATGCTGTTGATCATTGGATTGTCTGGTCAATTATTTACAGACTGGTGCCATATAGCTGGAATGTTGCTGAGTGTGACGTAAAACTAAACTCGCTCGCTCACTCACTCACTCACGCACGCACGCACGCACTCACACACTCACACTCACTCACTCACTCACTCACTCACTCACTCACTCACTCACTCACTCAGTTCCCTTGCTGGGGTCAAGTATGACTGAAACTGTGCACAACAGTCTAGAAATATTGCTGAAGGACTTCTAATAGTGTGATAGTATCTCTCGTTCCTCAATTACTCCCCACTGATTTTCTGTACCTGTCAGACATGTTGACTCTAGTCGTGTCCTCAGTAAACATTATCATGTGTGCAGGAGAAAGTGTAGAAGGCATGACCGCTGGTTTGTTAAAGCACTACTTAAGGCAACTAACAGGACTGGGTGGCCAGACTTGCTGATTTGGTTGTCATTGTATTCCAGTTGCGTAGATCTATGCTCATGCTGTTGATCATTGGATTGTCTGGTCAATTATTTACAGACTGGTGCCATATAGCTGGAATGTTGCTGAGTGTGACGTAAAACTAAACTCGCTCGCTCGCTCACTCGCTCACTCACTCACTCACTCACTCGCTCACTCACTCACTCAGTTCCCTTGCTGGGGTCAAGTATGACTGAAACTGTGCACAACAGTCTAGAAATATTGCTGAAGGACTTCTAATAGTGTGATAGTATCTCTCGTTCCTCAATTACTCCCCACTGATTTTCTGTACCTGTCAGACATGTTGACTCTAGTCGTGTCCTCAGTAAACATTATCATGTGTGCAGGAGAAAGTGTAGAAGGCATGACCGCTGGTTTGTTAAAGGACTACTTAAGGCAACTAACAGGACTGGGTGGCCAGACTTGCTGATTTGGTTGACACATGTCTTGTATCCCATTGCAAATTGCGCAGATCGATGCTCATGCTGTTGATCATTGGATTGTCTGGTCCACACTGAATTATTTACAGACCACAAACATATAGCTGGAATATTGCAGAGCATGGCATTTAACAACAAACACATGAGTGAGTGAGTTTAGTTTTATGCCGCACTCAGCAATATTCCAGCTATATGGCGGTGGTCTGTAAATAATCGACTCTGAACCAGACAATCCAGTGATCAACAGCATGAGCATCGATCTGCGCAATTTGGAACCGATGACATGTGTCAACCAAGTCAGCGAGCGTGACCACCCAATCCCGTTAGTCGCCTCTTACGACAAGCATGGGTTACTGAAGATCAATATTCTAACCCGGACCTTCACGGGTCAACAAACACATGAAATAAAGTTACCTTTCCCTTCAGGACTTGAAGCCAGCTAACCTTCTAATCAGCTCAACCGGACATCTGAAGATCGCTGACTTTGGTCTTGCAAGAGTGTTTGAAAACAAACGTGACAGGCAGTACAGCCATCAGGTGGCAACACGGTAAGTTATCTCCCCATGATATCTGTGAAGCACATGGAAAATATATTAGCCCCACTAGAACCCAGTTTCATAATTGTGGAAACTTTTGCAAACGACACGAAGCTAGTCGAACACTAACAACTACAATATTTGCTCCTAGAAATTTATGATTCCGTGTCATTTCATACGTTTCTCAAGCCAATTTCAGCTTCATGGGCTATTTCTGGTACCATTTAGTTTATTCTTCATTGCCTGCTTGATCTACTTGCTTCCTCTGCAGTTGTAGAGGTCTTGCACAGCGAACACATTTGATCTTTCTAATTGTGTAACATAAGATATATTTTCGATTACACTTTCTCAGTAATGTACCCGGCTGTGATATTGCTGGAATATTGCTAAAAGCGGCCTAAAACCCAACTCACTCACTCAGTAAGGTACAGATTCTAGAACTTTTGTTGGGTAGAGTTCCATCCGGGATTCAAACCCACACTCTCAGACCTAATCGCCGGCACACAAAGTCAGCCGTCATACCCACTCAGCAGCCACTGCAGCTTCCACTCCATAGGATTGGACTCAACCAATCACTCAGTACTAGAATATGTACTGTACGGAGAAAGTGTAATCCCAAATATCACATCATATCTATGGAACTGGGATACAATGACATGTGTCAACCAAGTCAGCGAGCCTGACCACCAGATCCCGTTAGTCGCCTCTTACGACAAGCATGGGTGGCTGAAGATCAATTCTAACCCGGATCTTTACAGGTCTGGTGTGCTAGCATGCAGATCAGGCATCGATTAGTAAAACAGACATTGATTAATACAACAATCAAGATGATCGAGGATACTTCCTTTTGAAACACACACGAGAGTATGTTGTTTACATTGAAGTTTTATGAGTCAGGAAATTGCATTAGTTGTTTATACCTTGATTTAACAAACGTGACAAGAAGAAACATACTTTTTAAAGTTTAAGTTGATGTTTCATTGTTAATGAATATCGATTAATTTCCTGCGTTCATCGATAATCAATGACAGAAGCGAGATCGGTCAATTCTTATTACAGAGACCAAGAAATGAGAAAGGAAGGTCTAATCGTACTTTTTAAACAGTATTTTTGAGGGCTTTAGGAAGATAATGGAAAATAAAATCCTTTCCTATTCATAAACTGTAGTTTTAAAAACTCTGGTTTGAGTCTGGTGAAAAAGCAGATGTGTGCGACATTGTTTAATCAAAGTACCACCTGAGACTGTGGAAACAATATGAGCAGAATTTTATTCTATTTTGACACGCAACTTATTGAAAATACTATTTCATCCATACATGTGAGCAAACAGTGATAGGTTTCCCAGAAAATGCATCTCCTTTCTTATGTTACAAATTGATGAATAATATTGTGACACACTGCAGGTTTCAAGCGTATTAGATCATTACGTCTACACAGCTGGACATCATCCCTCGGCTGGCTATAGATTTCATTATAAAGCATTTTGCGATGTATGTTCATGTGCTTGCATTGAGACTCACTCAATGATGCAGCGTTTTACAAACATGCTGATCAAATATGACAGTCAGAATCAATCAATGCCAGAGTGAGTGAGTGGGTGGGTGAGTGAGTGGGTGGGTGAGTGAGTGAATGGGTGAGTGGGTTGTTTGAGTGAGCAAGCGAGCGGGTGGGTGGGTGAGTGAGTGGATGAGTGGGTTCGGATGGATGGGTGGGTGGGTGTTTGAGTGAGTGAGTGAGTGAGTCTTCCACTTATATCACAGCTAGGTATCTTGTGATGATCTGATAAATTTCAAAACACAACACACACCTCGTTTTGTTTCCAACCTATTTTTCGTTTTGATGAAATCTTTCAAATTTGACATTCATTTTAGCACCTAAAACGTGTAAACCAAAAGTAGTCTGACCTAAATCATGGAATTTCTGTGAAAAGAAAGTTTAAAAGAAAAGTTCATTATATGCATTTGTCTCTCAGGTTTTCGCTGTGACAATTGAGTCTTATGTTGTTTGTTTATAAAAATACCTGCCACTTGCAAAATGTCGGAAATAATTTGTAACGGAGTTAGGATGAAAGGAGTGCACTGGTTATCCTTAGAAAACAACAATGTTCAGTGCAACAATTTGCCTAACTGTCCAACAGTAAGATCATTCAAGCGAACCAAACAGTTTGCGTCATTACCGCCCAGTGCTGTGAGCATTCACTACAATGCACCAAGGCAATGGAAAAATCGCAGGGACACGTAAACAGCAATTGGGCACTAACAAAGAAGATTTAATACTGGGTGTAGTCAATGAAATGTTTTAGATATTATTGTTATCTCTGCATCATGACATGCGAAAGGTAACTTGAAGGAAATTTGTATGGGAAATCTTAATGTTTGATGCCTGTGCAGGGATTTACCTTGAGTCCTGTTTTTGAGGGTCCCTGGGACTCATACTCTTAAATTTCATGGGACCTGGAAAACAAAATGGGGGTCCAGACACTTAAATATTATTATTAGTAGTGTTATTGTCTTCTGTATCATGATCATCACATATATTGTTACAGTAATTGAATTGCAAATGATACCATAACCCGGCTAGTAGCAAACTCTTTGATAATAATTGTTACTTGATTGCAATTTTTACAAAAAGTATTTGGATTTTTGCTGCGTCCGTGTGGATGCGCTAATAAATTTTGTTATGTCCATTGTCAATTTTTTATGCGTAGAGGAAGCAGGAATTCGCATCCTGTACATCCCTGCTGTGTATATCTAATTTTTGACACCATTTTTAACCAAGGTAATTACACAGTGACATCTCACTATGTGTCTTTGAAATATAGGGCTGGGACAAGTCCAGATTTACTTCTCAGGTACCCAACTCCCTGTTACTATGTTCATGATGTCAATCACTGGATCTTATGGTCCAAACTTGATTATTTACACACTGCGTCATTAAACAAACAGGCAAACAATATAAATGGTAGTAAAGAATAGCGGTGTTAATAGCAGTCAAGTCTGTGGTATTGATATACACTTGGTCAAGTGGTCAAGCCTCCAAACAGGCCAACGCTGGATAATTCTGGGAGAAAAGATGAACTTCACACAAACGCTGGTCATGATTTAATGCAAGATGATAAGGGCATGTGCTTGCCCACTTACATAGTTTTAAAAAGTTGCTAGAAATTCTTATAGTATTATGAGTGAGTGATTTTAGATTTACGCCACTTTTTGCAATCTTCCAGCAATATCACCGTGGGGGACACCAGAAATTTTGGGCTTCATTGTGCCCATGTGGGGAATTGAACCCTGGTCTTCGGCGTGACCAGCGAACGCTTTAACCACAAGGCTATCCCACCTATAGTACTATGACGATCCGGGGTGGAATAGGTCTTCAGCGTCCCATGCTTCTTGTATGAGGTGATGAATGGGATCAGGTGGTTAGTAGAGTTGTGTATCGTGGCCTTAGAGGCGAGACAATATATCCCAATACTAATTTCGTGAGGCGAGACAATATATCATGAAAGAATTGCTGGCGATACGATATGTATCCTGATACTTTACAGCTTCCAAAAACAGAACAGATATGATAGATAAAATTGCTGAAACTTTATTTGTTATACAACAGAACTTGTGTTACATTCACACACACTTAAAAAACAATTTCAGCATTTAATGCTTAAGAAAATACAATCAAACATATTCAGTATTCCTTGATCTAATATAAATATATTTGAAACTGAAGTTTCCCTTGGGAAGTTGTGTTTCTACACCAGTGCTTTCACAAACATTTCGATGTAATTTATATCAGAATTCAGAATCACTGAAGAAAGCTCTTAAATATTATCTTATCTTTGTTCTCTTTCTTAACAAAGGTAGGACATTGTTTATAGCTGTTGATAAATGGTGTTATTTGTCAAACAACTAACACAGTTCACAGAGTTTGAAAAATGTTCACACTCTTTCAGTTAAACACCAACTCCTTTGTTCATGTAACTAAAGATAACAGATACAAATAAATAGTTTCTAATTTTGTTTAGTTTTTAGTAGTATCGGGATGTATTGTCTCTTGTGGCGATACATCGATGTATCATGGACCCTTGCGATATAGATATCCTGATATCCTCAAAATCATATCTGACCGTACTCACTACTTAAATTCGGAATACAACCTCTTCCCTTCAGGCCGCCGCTACAAAGTTCCAATTGTGAAACTAAGAGAGCCCGTACATCCTTTATTCCAAGTACCATATCTCTCTTAAACAAATGTGAAGATACCTAAATCAAAGAATTTAAGTAAATATGTTTGGTATCTCTCTAATGTGTCAGTAGCTCTGCTGATGTAACACAAATTCCTGAAAAGGCATTAAAGTATTATTCTATTCTATTCTATTCTATTCTATTCTATTCTATTCTATTCTATTCTATTCTATTCTATTCTATTCTATTCTATTCTATTCTATTCTATTCTATTCTATTCTATTCTATTCTATTCTATATTGCCTAAATGTGGTGTATATCGGTTCACTCGTATTGCTTAGTTGATGATGCAAACATTGATACTATCGTCACACCACTAGTCACAGGTTTGGCTTGCTGACTTGGTATTGTATCTCAGTTGTTTAGATTGATGTACATGATGTTGATGTGTATTGTCTGGTCCACACTCTAATGTTTACAGATCGCTGTCATCTACGTTAACAACAAACAAACAATCAAACAAACAAAAGCCTGTCACCGAAAACAATGTAATACAATTGAAATATTGTTTTACATTAAATTACAATATTTTCAATGTGCCCTGACTGCACAACTAATAGACACCATGATTCATTAAATTGAAAAATATACCAGGAATTCTGTATTTAGGCCCACGCGAAATTTAGCCCATGGGCTAAAATATGGGATTTTTTTTCCGTATTCAAGTCCATGGGCTTAAATTTGGATTTCACTCTTGGGTGTTTAGAGTGACGTCCCTTTCCAAACGCATTGCGAACCTCGACGTTTTAAACTTTAGTAGTGCCTTCTCTGTGA